AACTAACAAACAGATTCTGGAGTATTTATATTATAATTACTTCGAAGTACTTAGGTAATAAAATAAAAAGCAATAAGCATGTTGTAAAAAACAATTTTGTTTTGTTTATTTTCAATAAGGGATCTCATTAGTCTAACAACTTCAATGACAGAACCAAAGTATTCATTTTAAAACCAACCAAACCGTATTTCAAAACGATATTAAAAAAAAAACATAGAAATAAATTTTAAACCGAATACTTCGGTTGAACCGCAAAATAATCATCAATATATATATATTCATATATATATATTTAATTTGATAATACTTTTCAGCGTACATAAATTATTATTTGGTCAACAAACAAACCCGCGGTATAATCCCATATCAGTCATTAAGAACATGGGCCGTCTAGTGCTCAGATGAAAACCTTTAATCAAATGGAACTAAATATTTTTATACAAATTTACAATCTTATATAATAACTATCATTACTTATATTAATTTCTTTGAAACCTATCTGAAGTCTTCGTAATGCACGTACGTACAGACGCGATTATTATTTACTAGTCAGAATAATAATAAAATGCCTTTGTTTATATATAAATGAAAACCGCGTCTGTACATATCGTCATTAAATTCTCTAACTATGTATGTAAAGCGGTTACTTTTCAAAACTTTTTGTTCGCAGTAAACGTCATATATTTTTTTTATCATTTTTCTTTCTATTATAATGTACTTATACTAATTTTAAATCGTCGGTATCATAAGAATCGTCATAAATAAACTAAATTGCCATTCATTCATACGCCCGTAATATCGCATTGACTGGTGTGGAATCATTCATTCTTGAATGAATCCATGCACCGATGATTTATTTTCGCTCATTCAATTACATTCACTCACAAAGAACGAATGGAATCGAATGTACGATCATTCATTCAGTTTACAGCTGATATAAATAAAAAAAAACTATACCAATTTAGTCTTGGGCCAGCCAGAGACGAGAAAAAATATGCAAAGCCGGCCCCCATACGTTTAAAATAAAACCCTTAATTATTATAAAAAAAATTCGATTACTACATTAAATATTCATTTTTTTTTTGTATTTAAACATTTTTATCACAACGATTACATTTTATCCGATTTCTTTGTGGTAATTTTCTCCTTTGTCAGATAACGCGTCTAGGCTTGGTTATAAGGCTTAATTATTGCTATAACGAGTATAAGTGAATTGTGCTATAAATAATTGGATTAAGGCATTTTCCAGTTATATATCGATTACTTGTTTACGCTTTGTAACACATGCAAAACCTTTTTTGTTAGTTTGTATGAAGTTTTTTTTAAATAAAAGACGTACGTTTATGTTTTAATATCAAAAGAGGTTTTGCTTGTATTATATATGTATAAGCGATTTTAGTACTGTTAGTTTTATCCGATAGTTTTCATATAAGAGATATATAAAAGCATTTAACGAGGAACTCTTTTAATGTTATCACTGATTCTTCTCCGTGTATTAGAACTAATGTTACACACTTTACTCTAACAATAATGGATTTAATAAAAAAATATATATCCTAAGTTATGGTATGATGCACAAACATGGCGCCGTTTGTAATTAATGTAAAAAATAATAATTAGAATGTCACCGGCGGAGAAATGAGGTAATTTTGAATATGCCGACGCATTCTACTTATTTTTTACACTAAACACAATATAATCTCAATTAACTATTAAAAAAAAATGTCTATTCACAATCAGAGCAACATTTCTGTTAGAGCAAAGTATACAAGAAATGAAACAAAAAAAAAATACAAAGCGGATCAATGTATCAGTCATTTGGCTAATTTGGACTGTATATATACAAAGAGCTGGCAACACAACCAGTATTTACATTGTGGACATTTACCAACATTCAGAAATGAATTTGACAGCTGGCATCACTAAACGCCCAGGCATGATAAAGCTGTGTTCTGGCTAACCGATACGACCGATTAATTAAAAAACATATAATCGGTGAACCAAACCACGACCGTAACCTTAATTATCCACCACTGTAACATACTTTGGAATTAGACATCGGACGGTGATCACGATAAATTAAAAAAAAAACACGAATGATGACTTTAAAAAAATCCAAATTTAAATCAGAGAACAAAGCTCATATAATCGTTATAATTCAAAAATGGAACCCGGCGCCAGCTGACCGGTTCGGGTGGGGGGTGGCGTGATGATGACGTCACACGTCAATGTCAAATTCCAAAGCTGTCAAAGCGTCGTCGGTTGGCGCGGAACGTCGACACACGATGCGCTGTCACTTGCCGCCGTGCCCGTTGGCGTCCACCTGTAATACGAGCCACGTTCAGTGCACTGTGTGTCGTCGTCCCGTTTGAGGCTACGTTCCTATGACTGTGCAACAATGTGTCCACATTCTCGCAAACTATTAGTGTGTTACGTGAATACCGATCTTTTAAACCGCTATACAGCTGGGGTTGTTTTTTTTTAGCAACCCGAACTGTATAGCCCGCCACCACAAGCGAGATACCCAGCTGATGTATGGTAAATTGCGTCCCAGTAAAAAGAAAAATCATTGTTTTCGTTACACCATTTTGGAACATATGTAGCCCCAAAGGACACGATATACACACTTGATAACTATTATTTAGCTGTTACAAAGAAATTTAACAATAATTTAGATACAAACAGCTAAGTAATAGAGAAGAATAATGTATAAAAAACGGGTGTTATAAAAACCGTGTAAAAAACAAACTCAAAACACAACTTACACATGCAATAAAGTCATACACGTATACATCTTTACATTGTCACTGGTGATAAATAAAAACAAATAGAATTCATTCACAGTGTGACTGTTTAATTAGAAAACAAAAAACCATTATATTCTCCCTTAAATTGATTTTTTTCCGCCAATAATCGACTTACAAGGTCTCATATTTACAGCAACAACAAACTCAAGTATAATCTCTTTCAAAAAAAAAAAAATAGTTATACAAAAAAAAAATATTTAGCCTATATTAATAAAATTTAAGTACTTTAAGAGAATTTCCTAAATCATCACTAAACGTTAAATGGTAACAATAGATGGCACCACCATATATATTGATCGGTTAGAATTCTCAAACATTTTTATTTTATATACACAACATCTATATATAAAAAATTACTTATACATTATACAGGTTGATTATAAAGCATAAAATAGCAAATACAATTTCATAGGAATTTACAAAATGTGAGAGAAAAAAAAGACCCTGTATTAATATTTTGTTTTGAGCAAAGCGTTTACTTTATACTAACAAAAAATAAACACCTATATTACGATTAAAGCTGATATGGTAATGTGTTGATCAGAAAAATAATATAAATAATATAATTACTTATATTAAAAACTATATTTTATATACATTTGTGATATAATATATCTTCTTGTAATAAAACATACATATATATATGACTGTAATGGAATGATAGTTTTCAGAATAAAGCTTTTTCGCTTTCTTCTATATAAATATACGATTTAGAATAACTTCCAAAATAATTTTCTCCATATTGTTGGTAGGAAAATAAATATTCATTTGTATATACAAATTTGTCAAAATTATATGAATAAAAATCACGAAAGAGTTATACTTTTCATATATAGATTATTCTTAATAAAACTTAGAAAATGTTTCAATATTTATATGAGTATATCAAAAAATATTTTTATCTAACTATACATAATAGTTTTTCTTTCAAACAGATTAATATTTCGTCTGTGTACTTTGAATTTTCTTTATAAAAATTCACGTTTTGTTTTAATCACTTACACATACACGTAACATTATCTAGAGATATATCTTAAGATTTTAATAATAATAAATATTCTGCAGTCTCATAGACAATAAGCAACAACCATAGACATTTGAGGCCATAGATAACACTATAGAAAAGCTCCGAAATATATTATCTATACAGATTGTAATAGAAACATTAGTAAATAGGACAATAGTGATCTATGGCCCCAATATATAAAATTTGTACATACATTTTATAACCTAGGTATAGGAATATATGACATATGTATACATTAGCAAAATATTATCTCATTGCCATAAAAAACTTAAATGAGCCTGTATATTACACATAGTAATGATTGTATACACTATAAAAACTTTAACAACTAGTAAAGAACAACAAGTTACATAAATATATAAAGATTTAGTGAAACAGGTAGAGAAGTTTGATAGATATAGAATAGACAATGATTTAATAATGTAATATATAGTGATAGTGCAAATCCGCGTAACTATCATTGGATAACTTCGCATATCTACATTAGATGCATATCAGAAGAAAATTTAAACTAAAATATTCTCTACATTAAGATATTTTATACAGAATTAGCAATTATTTAGTATTTAATTAATTTCTAACTGTGAAATAATCACTTTAAAGGTCGTTAATATTGAAAATATTTCATCTTAACCCTTTCCCTCCTTACGGTACTTAGAAGTACCACCACATTTTTCGTCTAATATCTTTAGTACGAAAACACTTTACGTGAACGGCAACTGACGATCCTTTAGAGTACCGTTTCCGTCAGCCAATCACAGCGCGTTAATTGAATTACCGCGCGACATTGGCGTAAAAATTGAAATTCTTGTCACAACTTGTCGATTGTTTTTTCATTTCGTTGTGCAGTGAAATAAAAAAAGTTTTATAAGTAGAATATCACAGGTAAGTGCTATTTTTTTTACTATTTACGTTGTTTATATCATTGGCTATATTTCTAAAAGCTGTTATAATGTATTATCACGATATTTCATACGAATATTTGATAAAAACTACTGCGGACTTAAAAGTACCGTCAGGTGATTCTAGTCTCAAATATTATGATTTTTTATAATACATGTATACGATGAAGTGGTTATTTTATTTTATTATTATTTTTATAAACCCATGTTATTTTTTTTTTTATTATTGTTCTAATCAAGGTTTTTATTGTTTTAGGAATTGAGATGGATATTAAAAACAATACGGCTCTAATTGAAGCCCTGTTATTAGAAGAGCTTCCGGACTGCGACGAAGCGTCTGATGCAGGTGTGTCCGATGATGAAGTGGAAAATGTTCAACTACCCTCGCCAAGAGGTTTCGATGAAATTTTTGAAAGAGCTATAGAAGATGTTTTGGCCGAAGTTCCGCCGTCGTCGCCGTCAAATGAAGATGTATTGGAGTACCCAATAAATCAGGTACCCACATCTTCATTACCTGCACCTAGTGTTCAGCCTGATCTACCATCTGCAAATAACTCTTCACACCGAACTAACCAGCGATTACCCGAACCAAACCGTAAATGGAAAAAGAGGGACCTAAGTACATCTTTACCGGAATACATTGCGGATACTGGAGTAGTAGATGACTGGTTTGCTCACTGTACCACACCGACTGATATATTTTTAGTATTGATTGATGACATTGTTGACAATATTGTATACCAAAGTAACCTTTATGCTACTCAGAAAAGCAAAGTATTGAACCTAAAAAAAGAGGAACTCCTAACATTTATAGGTATTAATTTTTTTATGGGTTACAATACTCGTCCGGCGTGGAGAGACCACTACTCTTCGGCACCTGATCTCAACAACGCGCTTATTTGCAAGACTTTGCCTAGAGACAGGTTCGCTATTATTTTATCTCATCTGCATTGCAATGATAGCTCCAAAATGCCTTCAGGCTGCAAAGATAAATTATATAAAATTAGACCAATGATTGATGCACTCAATAAAAAATTTGAAATGGTTTATCATGGTACTCGCGAACTGAGTGTAGATGAGTCCATGATTAAATTCAAAGGTAGGTCTGTCCTAAAACAGTATCTACCTATGAAGCCCATAAAAAGGGGGTACAAACTGTGGTGTCTTGCTGACCAGAGGGGGTATATAAAGAAGTTTCAAATTTACCAAGGGAAAGACGAAGAACTGAACACAAAATTTACCGGCTATGGATTAGGAGAGAAAGTAGTTTTGGAGTTAACGGAACAAGATTGGAGTAAGGGGAAGGTAGTTTACTTTGATAATTTTTTCACGTCTGTGGCTTTACTTGAGAAACTGAAAACTGAAAACACCTACGCATGTGGAACTATCCGAAGTAACAGAAAAGGACTGCCCGGAAATATGCTCGCTGATTCTCAATTGAAAAGGGGCGATAGTGATCATCGATTTTCAAATTTAGACATTGGATATTGGAAATGGAAGGATAATAAAATGGTTCATTTAGTGTCTAATTTTCACGGGAACGAAGAGGCAACTGTGTCACGTAAAGAAAAAAATGGAACCAAGTCAGCCATTACATGCCCTATAGCTGTCAAAGATTACAATATGTATATGGGCGGCGTAGATACAGCTGATCGTTTGAGAGCCCTTTACTGTATAGATCGCAAATCTCCGAAATGGTGGCACAGATTGTTTTGGGGTCTTCTGGACATCGTATTTGTCAATGCATATGTCATTCATGGACTTATAATGGAACAGACTACCGTAAAAGATTTTAGACGTTCTGTTACTCAAGGCTTGATGACAATGAAAGATGCTAGTCAGAAAAGGAAGACTTCTACTGACAATACTGCAAAAGGCGGCCCTTCCAAAAGACGCAAATCTGACTACTCCACTATAAAAGACGTACGCTTAGGTAACAGAGGCATCCATTGGCCTACGTTTGTAGAGAACAGGGGAAGGTGTGAGGTTTGTAGTTTGAAGAAGATTCAGTCGAAACCTCATAGTAAATGTTCGCATTGCAACGTGTTTTTTGTGTGTAAACGAAAAGAAAAATTGTTTTATTGAATACCACGAGGTTAACCTGTAATTTTTTTTTTTTATTACTACTACTTAAGTCATTAATTTAATTACTGCTAAGTCAATAGTGGATCTCATTATTTTTGTAGTTTCTATCAAAGTTCCTACCACTCTGTTAACACGAAGTTCCTGACGGTACTTATAAGTCTAGGTCTTGGAAATAGTACTTCTAACTATAATAAAAATCTAAAAAAAATCTGTGTTTTTAATTTTACCTACCTTATTATGAAAATAAAGTTCAAAAGCGGAAATTCGTTAAAAATCACTACCCCGGGGGGAAAGGGTTAAACTTTCTTCTGATCTGCTTCCAATATATACGCGGAATTATCCAATGGTAGTTACTGGTATATGCACTATCTATACGATACATATATATATTACTATGTGATTCTTCATTCGGGCGGCGGCGGTGGCACGGCCGGTGGTGGCATCGGTGGCAGCGGCGGCTGTGGCTGCTGTGGTGGTCTGAACATGCCGTAGAAGTAGTCCCCGTAGTATAGTGGCGGCGGGGGGGCGACTACGTAGTACGGGAGGGGGGGCCTGTAGGGGGGCGGGAGGGGCCAACCTACCTTGTGGTCGTGGCGTGGCAGCTTGTGTGGCGGGGCCTCTGGTAGACCCGCAGCCCTCTTCCTTGAAGTCTCCAACACTTCCTTGGATATCTTGATCTTGAGCCCGCTGGGTGGTGGCGGTGGAACTGCTAGTCGTTCCTTGGGTATCTTTATTTTCAGTCCCGGACTGGCGGATAGTTTTTCCCTGGGTATCGTTATTCTTAGCGCGCCATCCGTTTCCGGTGCGGGTGTGGGTGTCGGTGGAGGTTGATCTTTCTTTTCCTTATCCTTTTCTTTATCTTTATCCTTCTTGTGTTTCTTCCTCTCGTCCTTTGACTTGTCCCTGTCTTTGTGTTTGTGTTTCTCTTTCTTTTTCTTGTCCTTCTTGTGTTTGTGGTCGCCGTCCTCTGTGGGTGTGGGTTGTGTGTGTGTGTGTGACTGGTTATGAGGCTGTGTGTGTGTATGTGTGTGTGGTTGTGTGTGTTCTACGGGGTTCGGTTGTATTTCGACAGGTTCCTTTTTCTCCACGGGCGACTTCTTCTCCGTCGCCACAGTAATCGGCGCCGGTTTAGCTAAACTCTCTTTGAGTAAATTCGAGACTAACGTAGGATCAGTTTCTATTCCATTCAACGCCCTAGCTTCGGGTTTTCTTTCGGGTGCTCTCGTCTTAATAGCGTTTCCGCGTTGCGATTCCCTTATAACGTTTTCATATCCGGGCGTTTCATCTATTTTCTTGACCACCGGAACTAATTCTGGCTCGGAATTTGAATTCAATCTCGGCCTTTGTTTTTCTCTTGGCGATGAGAAGGGTGATAGTATGGCCGGTGGCTGCATGTCTCTTACTACGGCGGTGGGGTCGGGCCTCTTCTTGTGAGGACTGATTGGTTTCTCTTGAGGTTGAGGTTGAGGTATATGCGGTATAGGCACATTAGGTGGTTGTGGCGCGCTCACACTAGGCCGTGGCTCCGGTCTAGGTCTTTGTGGCGGGTTGGTCCGTCGTGGCGCCGCGGCGGCCGCTGTCGGCGTTGTGGCGTTTTCTGGCGAGAACAATGACGGCGGGCGCGTTCTTACTTCAGTGTGTACTGGAGGGTTGGGTGTTGGGTTTATGGGATGTGATGTGGATGGGATCTGTCGATGTCTGTCTGGTGGTTTGTTGTGTGGCGGTTTGTGTGGCCAGGGGTGTGGCGGTTTGTGTGGCGGTCTGTTGTGTGGCGGGGGGTTGTTGTTCGGTCTGTTCTGTGGCGCCGGTCTCTGTTGTAACGCCTGTTGCCGTCTCTCTCTGTCCTCTCTCCGTTCTCTTTCCTCTCTCTCTCTCTTCTCTCTGTACAAATTGAAGTCTATCTTTTGCGGCTGCGCTGCTTGTGGTGCGGTTGCGGGTACGTAACCGCCGGGCGCCTGTTGACGACGCCTCTCCCTTTCATATTCTGTAATTAAATTTATTAAGTACTTTAATTTATAGAAATAAGAAATTTACACACGAATATTTGTTATTATGACAAAAACTGTAGTGAAAAATATTCTATTATTCATCAACATTATTACTTTACAACTTTTGTATGTTACACTATTGCGAGAAATAAAAATCCTTCAATAACGAAAATACATATTTGTATAATAAATATAATAAAATATATCATACCTTTATCAAACGACTTGTCTATCTCATCACTGTTAGCCAATGAGTGTTTCTTATCAAAGCTGGAACCAGCGTGAGGTGAACTACCACCTAGTAAGAATAATTATTTTAAAATAACTATATTTTGTTAAATAAAAACAGTGCCATAACTTAATAAAAAATAATGTCCAAATTATAGATAAACTTAATATTATTAATATTTATTTATAGAATATTAATAACTCATAACAATATGCAAAAATATTTTGAGATGTAAAAACTAATAGTATGTAAGTGTTGATACAGAAAGAGATAGAAAAATTTATTCCAATAATAAAAAAATAATAATTAGATCTCATTAAATAAAAAAATAGTTTTGCTAGATTCAATAAAACTACATTCCTATTATTACTTAATACTAAACAAATATACAATTTTAATATCACTTATGATTGGTTATTTTATGATTTCGAGATAGCCCCCATACTAGACCACAAGAATTCTATAGCCAAAGCATTTAACTTAGTTTGAGACTTATTTGAGACTCAGTCTGAGTCTAGCAAAACTTTCATTAACTTGTTTTATCCATAGATATAATATATTTTACTTACTGTTCGACATAGTCATCATCTTTCGTTTCAATCTAGACGGACATTTGTCGAATATGTGAAGAAACTCTGATGTAAGTCTCTCCAACATTTCCGTAGTTACATCCCTATCAACATATGAGAACCAGTGGCGACCCTCGTTAGATTGAGGTATCTGTGGATGAGTTAAATTGTATATAAAAATAACTATATTTATATATATATATATATATATATATATATATATATATATATATATGTAAATATAACTTGAAATTTCTATGGAAATTTACAAGGAATTTTCGAACTAATTCTAACTTGGGAGATTATTTTGATATTTAAATCACATCTCTCTGAAGTTTCATCAATATATGTACTCAATATATGTAATAAATCTTTTAGCTATAATCAAAAATTAACTTCTGTACAAACTTTTGGAATGTATAGTAGTGAATATTAGAATAATTATATATTTATATGTATATAACTCAAGAACGACTGTAGGGATATGGTTAAAAATTGGTGGAGAGATAGCTTAGAACCAGGAGACAGACAGATTGATAAAGAAAAAACTTAGTAAATCCAATATTTGATTATTTATACCTATTAGGGCGGAATAGAGTTCGTCCAGTCAGTTATACATATATAACCAATTCCGAAATTAACGCGGACAAAGTCGTAGTAAAAACTAGTATTAAATAAATACATACCGCCCAATTGCTCCACTTAGACGCCAGATGTATACAGAAACAGGCGACAATAGTAGGTCTGTACTGAAGACACATTGTGGTCAAATGGAGACTGTTGGACGCCATGAAATACGAAGTCTGCGCCAAGTCTTTGGGAGCTGGAAATTAATATCATATATATTATTATTGGCATAATATTGTGGACCTTTGCTTATATAATATAATTGTGTATAAGCGTTAATACTAATAGGAGTTCTTTTCAGCTTTGTATGTTTAGTTTTCTCATTATTTTTATATTTTATAAGGGAATATTAACAATAGCAAATATAATTTGTTCTGGTTAGGCTTTTGGTGCGAATGGGAAGGACACACACACACATATAGAATGAAACATACCTTATTGTACTATACTTGTTGATCGTTGCGCACACGATATAACGTAAATGGGGATTGGCTCTAGGTTCAACGCAATTTGACTTTCATATTGGTTTACAATAAAAATGTAGATTTGAATTTATTATTAAAAAAAAGGAAAAAATATATGAAACCACCATTTTATTTATAGTAATTAAACAAAATTTGAATATTGTAATATTTAAAAAAAAACTATATAATCGAAATAAGTAAAGCAACACAATTTACAACCTACGTCGGAATAAAAAAAAAAATTAAAAAAAAAAAAACAAATCATGTGTAACGCTGGCCATCAATAAGATTGTAAAAGAACCAATTTAAAAGTCAAATTTGAAAATGGAACCCCGCCATCCGTATAACGCTCACCTTTAACAAGGTGGCAGGTTCGTACCACGTGCGTGTGCGGGTGGTCGATGGCCACATCGAATCCTAACGTCTGTAGGAGTACGTTCTCGTTGAACACTAGGTCCTGCGCCTGGAAACGATAAAAAAAACATCACTATATATCCCTTACTACATGTTTCTAGATTTAAAACTCGATTCAATTCTCTTCTAAACCTTCTATAGATGTTAGGTCGAACTCACTATTTTAATTTCATTTATTTATTATGAAGACCTATAGTAGGGGTAATTCTATAGGAACGTTCCAAATTTGAATTACGTTTTCTTTACTGTATATGGTAATATGTCTTGATCTTCAATAATCATAGATAAGATTTAAAAACAATCGTACATTATGTACGTGACATTTTAAAATACATGATAAAATATAAAAGTATATACAGGGTGACTGGTGAATTACTATCAATATTTGAGGACGTGATATTTGACGATCATATATGACAAAATAAAAATTAATATAACATAAATATTAATAAACTTCTAAGTAAAGTTAACCAAAAGTTATGTAATTAATTACGCATCGTATGAACACCCTACAGATTAGGTATACACTGACACTCACACATACGCATGTCGTGACGTGGTGTTGTATCAGCACGCCGCCGCACGCGTCCACACTTGAACACTTGGAACGTGTCAACACTTTACTTATTTATACGGAAATTTTGTCAAAAATTAAGTGCCTATTTTTTTTACATAATTCGAATGAGAATCATGTACCGAGTATGCTCCTTAAATATTGATAGTAATTCACCAGTCACCCTGTATATATATATATATATATGTGTTTAGATAAATATATCAAATAATTTATGATTAATTTGATTTATACAATAAGAATATATATTGTGTAAGAATTCTAAGTAAATAATAATTTTAATATTTATAATATTGCGATATTAATTTATGATAAAAAAAAACCATACCGATCATTTCTATTTCCATTTATATCTAAGATGAATCTATTTTTCTTGGATTACTACACAAAACCATATAACAAACCTATTATATTCGATCTTTATGAACTTTTTATAATCTATAATACACCCAAACAAACTTTTAAGACTTATTTTTATTATATATTAGCTTCATATTATAGAAATTTATTTACACATATACAACTCTACATAAAAATAGAAGTTTCTGCATAAAAAGTAAGTTTTTTTATGATATTTTTATATATTAACATTCTAATAGCATGTTCAACTGAATATTATAGTAATTTATTTACACATATACAACTAACTCCTCATAAAAATAGAAGTTTTTGTATGAAAAACGATTTTTTATTTATTTCATTTTTATATGTGTACCTGTTCCTGATATTGTTCTGGTGTTAGTGCATTCACGCTCTCCCCTCGATGTAAGCACACGTGAGCCACTTTTATTACATATTCCAATTTCCTTGGTTGCTCCTCCACCTGGAAATTTAATAACAATTATATTAATATATTTAATTTATTAATGAAATTTTTCCCAATTCTGACTATTAGATAAAGACATAAGGCTTTTTAGCCTTTTTAGGCATTTAATTCATATGTCTAAGGTGTAGACAATTTTTGATAAATTTAATGTATTGGTAAAGCTTTGTTGATAATTTATTAGTCGTCATATTAAAAAATATAAAAATTTTAGAAGACAATATACTGTTATAAGAATATAACGACATTAAAACAGTTCAAAATTTATGTTTAAAAACAAATGTATTAAAATACAACAAAAATTCTATTTAGCCCAAAGTATTGAATAGCATTTGTATAAAATTTGCACGAAAAACATATACTTTATATAATTATATAAGAAATTTGTGAATGTTTTGTATACACACACACAAATCAAACATTTTTACAACTAATATGACATCTTTAATTTAGAAAAGATATAAAAAACTTTAGTTTACTTTTCATATAAGACAAAAATAATATATTTTCAATATAAATAATATTAATGTTTTTTACCTTTGCAGCGAGGAATAAAGCTGCAGCAGCTATAGCATTCCTGTGAAACTGTGTGAATGAATGGAACGCGTAAAACCGATGCATATACACTATTGCTGTGTTTATACATAATTGTGATCTGTTGTGCGTTTAGGAATTATATTGAATACAACATATTGAGGCAGATTCTGGCTAAAGCTGGGAAACTGCCAGGTAGAAGAAGAACATATTAATAGGAAAATAATATATATGTATATAAAATATTAATGTCATAATGTTAGTTTGTGTACTCCTTTTTAGCAAATTTCATATTCTTATTTGGTAGATCTGAGAATTAGCTACTTATCTATTCTTCATAACCCCAAGTGATAAAGGTCGTTCACCCTTAGATTATTTTGTTATATTTTGGACAAAATTATCTTACAATGTCTCATTAGGAAATACATACAACCCTGATTTTTTTCTTGTTTGTCACTAACCCCTATTTTTTTACTTAAACAACATTTGCTGGGTCAGCTAGTATACATATACTAGTTTTTTTCAGGAATTAAAAATAGAGCTCAAGAAAACATTTATACTGTGGTAAAACAATAGATATGGTTACCTATTGGTAGAAACATATTATACAGGGTGACTGGTGAATTACTATCGATATTTGAGGACGTGATATTTGACGATCATATATGACGAAATAAAAATTAATATAACATAAATATTAATAAACTTCTAAGTAAAGTTAACCAAAAGTTGTGTAATTAATTACGCATCGTATGAACACCCTACAGATTACTCTACACTACACACTCACACATACGCGCGCGGCGGCGTAGTGTTGTATCAGCACGCCGCCGCACGCGTCCACACTAGGAACACTTGGAACGTGTACACACTTTATTTATTTATACGGAAATTTGGTCAAAAATTAAGTACCTATTTTTTTTACATAATTCGAATGAGAATCATGTACCGAGTATGCTCCTTAAATATTGATAGTAATTCACCAGTCACCCTGTATATTTATTGCAGTGTTATAAAATTACAATTAAAATCTATTAATCCTCCAAGATCTATATGGAATTGAGTCACAAGTATAGGCTTTGTCTTACTAAAGATCTAGATAACTGAGATTCAATCAAAATCGATCAAGCAGTTTTGGTGTTAATATGCAACAAACATACATTCATTCATAATCTTAGTAAGATATTGTCATTAAATTAAATTTTACATACAAATAATACTCAACTCTTATGAAAGGATGAAAAAGTCAGTTAATATACCGTAACAAATCAATCAGTGCAATAAAAATTTTATGTTAGCCAATAGTAAACATTATTCAAGGCCAGATTGTTGCATTGACCGTGAATTAAGGAGGACGAATAAATGTCGAACACTAGATATATAAGGCGAGACATATATATGTATATACATTATTCATATTTCATATATATTTTTTTATTATAATTATCATATAAATGATTTTAATTCTAGCATTATAATAAAAACTGCAAGTCAATACCATTTCTTGATATAGGCAAAACTTTTTTCAATATTAAAATTGTTTTTAAATTATAGGTAACTATTTATGAGGAAAAATTTAGTTTTCAATGAAATCATTATGAAATACTAATAATAATTGAACTTTAGTTAAATCATTAAATAGTAATAATATAATTAGATTTTCTTTTAATATTGTAATGTTTTAAATAGTAACAAAACATTAGCCATAATAGTTTTTTAATTAATTGGTTAATAGGGGAATCTAAAGGCATTAAAACTATGATTATTTAGAAGAATTTCAAACACCTAAACATTTTAACATTCTTAACAGTGTAGAATATAATATATTATATATACCTCCCGCATAAGTTGTTGTAACTCTTAAACTGTAAATTTACTACAAATTAAGTCAAAATCTTAAAAAAAAATGAAAATTACAATATTATTTATGCATCTGACAAATCCTTTAAAAATAGTGTTTTTGTTGTTATTTTGACTTTGAATGGATATAATGATCCATAATAGAATATTATTCAGAAAAATAGCATTTTTGTGGCATACAACAACTTACATGGGAAGTATATATGTGTGTGTGTGTCTTTATCAAAGCATTAATATGTTTGTGTGCATTTAAAATTAATTTACTAATCAAATAACAAATTTCAAAACCATTAGTAATTCCAATTATTCTACAAACATCGTTATCAGTAGAAAACAATGAATCATAACGGCTAAAACTGACTCATTACTTCAAACGATGTTTACACAAATGCCAACAAAGGTATAAAAATTAACAAAAAGTATATATTTCTATATAAATTAAAAGAAAAACCTATTCTTTATAGAGATAAACTTGGAGCAAGTGGCATTATTTTTGTAGAATTCTTTCATCTATTCTTCAAATACAATTCTATAGTTCTATTCATGCTTCAACAAGTTCTGAGAAAAAGTTAATCCCTAACACAATTATAACAGGTAGATTGGTTGAATCTTTTGTGCTTTTACTAGAAAAGAGGTGTTATATTATTACTTTTTACTAAATAATGCTTTTTAAAAGACCATGTTAAGAAAAATCGAAAATACCACATGTCAGTCATGAAATTTAACTTTGACATAGAAAATAGAAAGGTGATGAAAGTGGGTCACTACAGTTGTGGGCTTGTTGCGAATTTTGGCAATACAATGCTTTGTCATACATAATATGGGTTTAAAAGTTATCTGGGCTTCACAAAAACGAAATAAATTATACGCATTATACGCATATGATTACTACTTTTACTGTTGTAAAGTATAAAAGGTTATGCCAAAGACTAAAACTTTAATAATGAATTAAAATCTAGTTTCTGCGTAAGCGAAAATGTTTGCAACTATAACTTAAATGTTTTGTTTTTCCTTAATACGTCAATCTATCTACATGTTTGTGTGAATAACGGCATTTATATACAAATAACTGACTCATAACCGTATTAAGCGCCATTTATAAAGATACGAGAGTGTTATGAACTTTAGTTGAGATCACGTTGTTTCATTGCTACGCATTTCGCGCTAAAATTTACCGCGTAAATGATAACTAAAGATTTAAATTTAGAACCAGACAGGTCGATCCCTACGTCAGCGCGCAGGCGTCCTACACAGCTGTCAAAGAGCACTGACCTAAAAAATAGCATGATACACGCGAGAATAACCTAAATATAACATAATATAACCATATTATGTACTATTTATGATATATATGAGACGCTCACCTTTAGAAATCGAATCTACTCACGGGAATTCCCACACAACCAAGCGAAAGTGACCTGACGCTAACATCTAGAATCTTGGATGTTTCGTCATACATTTTGAATCTAACTTTATGACCACATTCACGCATACAACTTATTGTATACACTAAATTGACGTTGTAATCACTTATAACACTGCAATAAATACTAGGAACACACGTTTTAACCACATGACTCGACAAAAACATTGCACTTCACCATTGAAAAGGATACACTTGAAGCCGTTGGCCCATATCCTGTATGAGATTAGCGGCCTGCTGCCTATATGCTAACTCTTTATCTGCATCTAAACCGCATTTTCTGCTTGGCGAATTCTGTAGTTGCACTTTTGTAAAATACCATTTTTCTTGTGCGCCAGCCATTGAATGGATATTCCAATGACTGTTCGCGGAGGCACGACGGAGAGCTGTGCTCCGTCTATGTGCGTGAGTGGGAAAGGGACAGCGCTATTACAGCGATGAACGGATGCAGACCACGTTAACATTTGAGTGATTTACTAACTAATAAATAGCATCGCGAAGTTACAACACCTAAAATAATCACAAAATTATAACTAAAATAACATTTAAAAGTTTTTCACTAAGATCACTTTATATTAAATGTTATGTAAAAATTCGTCACGTTTGTATGGCTTGATAGATGTAATCAAACGGTCGCCATTGTAAAATGTTGGTGTTTTACAGTGAAGACTCCGGTGACAGAATGAAGATCTGCAACAAGACCAGGTACGTTACACCTTATCATTATGTTACATTTTGTTTCTTAGAAACTGCTCTATTGTTTGTACATATTTTTAATCACTGTAATTAACTTTTCTTCGAAAATAAACTATATTCAATATACCGACCTAAAAACTCTGTCACACGGTGCAAATGGCCGACCCACCACTGTTTACAATACACTTTATTATTTTTTACTGGACATCGTAAGTTTAAATGTTTAATCATTAACTAATTACCCTAAAATTAGTTAATTATTTTTGTTGTTATTCTAAAAGTCAGATTATATAGTTGAATTAGAAAATGTTACGTACATAATAAATTAGAATTGCACTTGACATATTTTGTTAATTAATTTTCGCGGTCTCGATTACGTATTGCGTAGTAGGAAATTGTTTTTCCGAATCTGTGGACGTGGTGTTCTGTTTATTTAAATTCGCAAAATCATTGCTTTTTCCATCTGCGATTTGTTTCAGTTAACTAACTAAGTGAATTTATTATTATTTTTATTGTTTTTTTGAGTTATCTATAATGTTTCCTATTAAAAAAGAGAATATTGATCACCTTCATTCACATAATATTAGGATATCCGATCGTAAGTGTAATTTTTTTTTTCATATAAACACTAGTGACGGAGATGTGTATAGTGATAATTTTTTCAGTATTCTTTTTAAAAACTATGTGACCTATTTTTAAAAATGACTATTAAAGTACATAACATACTAAATATTTCATTCAAGGACAAAAAAACACATAAAAAGTTATGGATTTGGCAATAAGGTATTTTAGTTTTGAAAAATCGACTATTTGTGCATGCGTTACTATTAGGATTCAAAAATTTATATTATTTTAATTCAAATCTATAATGAAATACATTGATTTAAAAGGATTTAAATATTTTTAATATACTTCAAATTAAGATAAATTTAAAAAAGTTTCATACAACTAAAAGAATTTGACTAGAATTTCTATTTGTATTTATAAGACACCAATATGAATAAATTTCTCACATTATTTTTCCATACATTTATAATTTAAATTGAATTACATATTTATATATTTCCAATTGGATGATTTAGATCTTAGTTAATATAAATAAATTATTTCCAGTTAATTCATCCAATTCATCCACTCCTTCAACCATGTCTCAACAACACAAGATCATCCACTTGCCCAAAGTCAGAATGCTGAACCGAGGCCGTCCAGCGATTAGGATCACAAATGTTAAATCGGTGAAACCAGACCCCGAGTTCATTAAACGACAAGAAGAGGAGAGATTGAGGGCTCAGGTATAAATTTAAAATTAAATTAATATAGTAAATAATTTTTAATAATATATTCAAACTTTTTGCTGCTAATGGCCGAATATATATACATGTATATTTTAATCTGTGGTATTCTCATTTTCATCTTGATTCTTTCTAATGATATGATAGTTTTGTGTCAAATATTAATAAATATATTTTTAGTTTATTTATATTTTTATTATAGCTATGATAAGCTGTAAATGTTTTGTTATTAAATATGTAATAAAAGAATTATGGCTGTCATTAATGACTATGTCATAAAAGAAATAATAATTTCCAATACTTCCTTCCACTGTGAACAGACAATATTTAATAACAAATATATTACCTATATCAAACAAAATACATTTATATAATCTGTACCACTCATTATATTTACTTTCATTAAATACAGACTAAGAAATCCCTACTAATATTATAAATGAGAAAGTAACTCTGTCTGTTACGCTTTCACGCCCAAACCACTGAACTGATTTTAATGAAATTTGGTACAGACATAGAGTTGACATTGAGAAAGAACATAGGATAGTTTTTATCCCAGACTTTTGAAAGGTTCTTTTAGAACGATATAACCTAACTCCACGCGGGCGAAGCTGAAGGCGGAAAGCTAGTATAATAAGGCAGTATGTTCTAAGACTTAAAAACTAAAAAAAATAACTTAAATTTCCAGTTACAACAAGAGATAGTATCACGATCCCGTACTTGTTCGTACCACGCGTATGAATGTACTCTACCCGTAGTGGGCGGTCGTATGTACTGTGTACGACATATACTAAGTGACCCGACCGCTCCATACAAGCAGTGTGCTCATGTCTCCGCTTCGGGCAATAGATGTACTCAGCCGGCACCCATTGATAGGGATCCTGGGTGAGTTTGGCCATATATATTAAGTATGTATATATACAGGGTGACTGGTGAATTACTATCAATATTTAAGGAGCATACTCGGTACATGATTCTCATTCGAATTATGTAAAAAAAATAGGTACTTAATTTTTGACCAAATTTCCGTATAAATAAATAAAGTGTGTACACGTTCCAAGTGTTCCAAGTGTGGACGCGTGCGGCCGCGTGCTGATACAACACTACGCCGCCGCCGCGTCTGTGTGAGTGTGTGTGTATACCTAATCTGTAGGGTGTTCCTACGATGCGTAATTAATTACATAACTTTTGGTTAACTTTACTCAGAAGTTTATTAATATTTATGTTATATTAATTTTTATTTTGTCATATATGATCGTCAAATATCACGTCCTCAAGTATCGATAGTAATTCACCAGTCACCCTGTATACAATATCCGGTAACTGAGCTTTGCTAGGGATTTAGAAATTTTTTGTGCATTTTTAAGTGAATATGTTTAACGCAAAACAATATAAATCTATAATTAATTTCTTAGTCTAACCTCAGAACAAATGCTAATTGACTTACTGTTGCTTAACAACGCCATCTGCTGTTCAAACAATTATTAAAATCAATTATCAAAAAGTAGTATTACTATTCGCTAAAACATGTCAGGGAGAGTCATATTTTAAACGCCTCCTTTTTTTCATAAATTGACGTTTTCTAAAAATGATTCCTAGCTAGATTAATTTACCATCCCCGAAACTCCCTATTATACTAAATTTCATCAAAATCGTTGGAGCCGATTCCGAGATTCCAGTTACATATATGTATATATACAAGAATTGCTCATTTAAAGATGTAATTATTTGTTAATTGCAGATGATTTTCAGTAAATTTGTTTCATTTAAATTACCTTGAGTCTATTCATTTATTTTTTCTTTTTATATTATATTAAAAATTTTGGATTAAATTTTGTATTTAAAGTATTTATTAATTATATCTAACATATATTGCATATAAAGTTTTACTATACATTTAATACAATCTTTTCCTAACATAACCATGTATATAAGTCATCTAACATTTTTATAAGCTCTCCAATATATATATTTATGAACATATACTAATTACTATATGTAATATATTTCCAGTGTATGTTTCGATCACGCACGTTCGTCTCTTTGTCGCCGCATGCGTGCCGCAGCCCCGCCGCCCGCCGTCGATACTACCGAGACCTTGCTGCATCGGTTACAACACTATGTTAGGTATAAATATTAAGATATAAGGTCAATGACCTATATGGATAAGATATACTATATATAAGTCAGTGGTTAAAGGGTCCGCCTCTCGGCCTCTCGTCGCCGAGGGCGCGGGTTCGATCCCCGCCCGGGCAAGTACCAATGTGATTTTTCCGAATCATATGTACTTTCTAAGAGTATTTAGACATCACTGATTAATGCTGATTCCCAAAAAAGGGTTGATGTCAGGCAGGCGGCCGGTCGTAAAAACAAATAGCCAAAAACTATTCACAACATGTAAGGCAGACCCTGGCTATAGCTGGGAAATTGCCAGGTAGAAGAAGAAGGTCAATGACCTATATGGATAAGCTATACTATATGTGATGAAGTGAAAATAATTTATTACATATCTAACTACATATGAAAATTTTTCAGTTTAGCCCTAATTGTGATATAACGCCTCAAAGGGAGCGTTATAGATAACTTTGGGAAATGCTTACCTAAAATATATAAAAGAATAGTTTTAATAGGGGCTCAGTGTCTAACAAAATTTCTTGCCAGTTTCTTTTTGTTTCAAATTATTTCTTCATGCAAAAATACAGTTAATATTTGTATGGATTTAGTACTATATCTTTGAACCAATCCCAACATAAGCTAAAAGCTTTGCAAACATTAAATTTAAGTATAAGTTACAATCAGGAAATTGATATAATAATTATTTAATAAGCTGTAAAAAATAATGTATAACATAGTTTTTATGATATTTATACCATTATTATATATATATTTGATAGTAATATATGATGTTTAATAATTCCAGACCCGAGCGTACTAGGACCACCTCTTGTGCTTCCTCGGTATCTGTTGTCAGTGAGCCTTCGGAACAAGAAGTGGCTACACATGCTGTGGACCCATTCAGTTAGTACATAATTATATATAGTAGAATTATATACATATACAGTAGAAACACGATTATCCGGCCCTCAGTTATACTGATTCGCAATTACCCGGACTACTGACCTCTGACTACTGACTATATGAAATACCTACAACTTACAAGTCAAATTCACTAACCCGAGAGTTTCGTTATTGCTTTTAGTTAATTGATTACCAATTGTTACTCGCTTTGACGTGCATTTCAAATCTACGTATAAATACATATTGAAAAAGAGAATGGTATTTGATTACCAATCGCAAATTACCAAATACATATTGTAATTTATTTCATGATTAAGACTTCAGTTTTTAGTATATACATGTAGTATATGTACCTATGTAAATGTTATTTAAAAAATGTATTCTTTAATTATTTATTAATAAACATTGAATTTCGTTGATATGTATTTGTTATTTTTTTTTAATAAACGTATAATATGAACTACGTAAGCACAAAACCGGTTTTTCTTCATACATTAACAATTAGTCCGGTTAATCGAGTTTCTACTGTATATACACATTTTTATTGATGAAAAGATTTTTAAAAACAGTGTTGAGTTCATAGAGATGTATTTATTATCAGGATGAACATTCCATTGTATGTAAGAACGGTGTAATCGTGGTCAGTTGATTTGTTTACAATATTATTAAATTCTATTGAAATTAATTATATACATATCGTAGGGATAGTGCATATCCGCCTAACTACCATTGGATAATTCCGCGTATCTACATTGGAATCAGATCAGAAGAAAGTTTAAGATGAAATATTTTCTATATTAACGACTTTTAAGGGATTTTTTCATAATCCTTCTAATATTATAATTGCGAAAGTTTCTGAGAGTGTGTGTATGTTTGTTACTTCTTCACGCTCAAACGGCTGAACCGATTTTGATAAAATTTTGTAAACAGTAAGCTGACGTTCAGGAATAACATATAGGCTACTTTACATCCCGGAAATTCCAGAAACCGCGGGGCGCAGCTAGTTAGTAATAAATTAAACACTAAATAATTATAAGTGTGTGTTTTTTAATATCTTGTTAATATAATTCCAGAGGAAATTGACGCGGTGTCAGTGAATGCGTCTGTATCAACGGCGCTGATGGAGTGCGCCAGCGGCAGTGACAGCGACTGTGACAGTGTAGTGATCACCACAGAGAGGGAGCCCTCCGACACTGAGGACGCGCCCTGTGAGGACGGCCCGCTGTGGTGAGTCTGGGGAGCGCATTACTCTGTACACATAGATATGATAGATATGACGTAAATACAGAGGTGAAATATCTTAATATATAAAAGAAAATCATGTTAATTACACTATTTATAACTCAATAACGGCCTTACGGGTTATGCTGAAAATTGGTGGTGAGATAGCTTAGAACAAGGAGATGGAAATAGGATTTTTTTCAAGCAGTCGAAAAAACATATTATTTTAATCTCATTTACTGCCTTTAAAGAGGAATAGAGCTCGCCCTGTCAGCTAAACATTCCTAATCTTGACAGTAATGTAGACGATGTCGCGAGCAAAAACTAGTTAGTAAATAATATTTATTTTCATCAAAAGTTTCTAACAGACAGGCGACATGATGGTTATAGTTATGTATTTATTTGTAATCATTTCAATTACTCAATTTGTCGCTAAGAAATATGTACAGACATTGAAAATCTTTTAAAACAGTACCATGAAATGATTATTTGCTAAATATATCGCTTCAATATCCTCATTTAGATATTCTTAAAAAAGTTTTAAATTTTTTGTTTTATAATTACATATGTTGACTTAATTTAATCTTCTTCTTCTACCTTGCAATTTCCCAGCTTTAGCCAGGGTCTGCCTTACATGTTATGAATAGTTTTGGCTAAATGTTTTCATACCCGTCTGCCTGACATCAACCCTCTTTGGGAATGCATTAATCAGTGATATCTAAATACTAAATAAAGTACATATGACTCAGAAAAATCACATTGGTTCTTGCCAGGATCGAACCCGCGCTCTCATGCATGAGAGACGGGCCTTTTAACCACCAGGTCACCACTGACTTAAAAAAATATATATTTTTATACATAATTAATTATATTTTCCAGGAAAGCCGGTGTTTACACAGCAGAAGAGGCAGTTAGTGAAGCAAATAATGTACTGAAATCATTACAGTCATTATATATTAAACAGATGGGACGACTGAGGACTCAGTTAGAAACGGCTCGGCTGAAATATATAAAGGCTCTACGGACAGAGAAGGAACATTACTGTGAGTTAATATTATATATATTAGGTGGTCATAAACTACTACTTGTATGGTAGTAATATACAGGGTGACTGGTGAATTACTATCGATATTTGAGGACGTGATATTTGACGATCATATATGACAAAATAAAAATTAATATAACAAAAATATTAATAAACTTCTAAGTAAAGTTAACCAAAAGTTATGTAATTAATTACGCATCGTGTGAACACCCTACAGATTAGGTATACACTGACACTCACACATACGCGTGTCGTGACGTGTTGTTGTATCAGCACGCCGCCGCACGCGTCCACACTTGAACATTTGGAACGTGTCAACACTTTATTTATTTATACGGAAATTTTGTCAAAAATTAAGTGCCTATTTTTTTTACATAATTCGAATGAGAATCATGTACCGAGTATGCTCCTTAAATATTGATAGTAATTCACCAGTCACCCTGTATAAGAAATTACTGCTATATATTAAGACATTTATATTAGTATATCATAATACTATCCTAATTATATAAATGCTATTCTAATTATATAAAGACATTTATATTAGTATATCATAATACTATCCTAATTATATAAATGCTATGCTAATTATATAAAGACATTTATATTAGTATATCATAATACTATTTTAAGTTGATTAGTACTTTATACATGGATGAAAGACAATTGATAATGGATGAAAGATAATATATATACATAGCTTTTCATGTTATTTTATTATACAAATCTATATTTATCATGCATTAAATATAATATCTACATACATTTCATTAAAACATAAATTCTGAATCCAATTTATAACATCACACATATTAAACCCTATTTAAGTTTTCTATATTGTTATTGACAAAATTTTTATAAAATTAATAATTAATTTAATTCTAAACAAAAAATATATCTTCATCAGTAAATTTCTACTTTAAATGAATTATGTAGGGTTGTAACCAGTTATGCCATCAAAACTAAGAAACTTACTTATATGTATATTTTAATAAAAATTACATATTAAAACTTACAGCCTACACCTAAGACTACATGATTGTCCCGATGTTAGTATAGCAATACCATTCCATAGCTTGTGTGGTATCAGGAATCTTCTGGTTCTCACGGCTTGGTGTTCGTTCCGCGGAGTCAGCGGCCTCACTCGTTATATATCCCTATTAATATTATAAATGCGAAAGTAACTCTGTCTGTCTGTTACGCTTTCACGCCTAAACCACTGAACTGATTTTACTGAAATTTGGTACAGACATAGAGTTGACCTTGAGAAAGAACAGGATAATTTTTATCCCAGACTTGTAAGGTTCTCTTGTGAAGGCGATAGGAAAGCTAGTTATAAATACAAGGATGTCGCCCGGCGTTGTTCATGTATTTCATCATGTATGTTTGTATATTCCAGGTAGTATAAACAGCCAGGCCCGCTCCGGGCCGCAGTCCGTCCGTGAGAGGAGGCAGCTGAGGAAGTTGAAGGCCTACGCCGGCTACCACAGGAGACACGGAGTAGACGCTGTGCTGGCGAGGAAACTACACCACAAGAGAGCTATGGTCACATATAAATATACTAACTATTACTACTGACTTTGTACGGTATAGTTTCCTAAATAGAAATACACTAGCTGCGCCCCGCGGGGTTACGGGATTTGCGGGATGTAAAGTAGCTTATGTGTTATTTCTGGACGTCAGCTTCCTGTATACAAAATTTTATCAAAATTGCTTCAGCCGTTTGAGCGTGAAGAAGTAACAAACATACACACACACTCACAAACTTTCGCAGTTATAATATTAGTAGGATAGCTGACCGGGCGAAATGTTTCGATTTAGAGGCAGCAAATAGATAAATTTTAGATTTTATTAGCAATTTTTTCTTTTTTTTTTTGGTGGAATGAATTCAAAAGTATCCTACGTCTGTTCTCTTTTTTTATCTCAAACTAACCGTAAACAAATTTCCAGCCAAATCCGTATTACTACGAGTTATTTTTACTCTAGATGTTTCGGTTACTTTGCTGCAATAATAAAATAACTCTTAGTACTCCGAAAATATTATTCTATCAGTTCTATTTAAACGATTATTCACTAAAGTCTTAGATATATCATTATATGAATATGTTATACATGTATATTTATTTGAAACCTATTGTTTATTCTTACAATTAATCATTATAATAATCAGTGGTGGCCTAGTGGTTAAAATGCCCGCCTCTCATGCATGAGGGCGCGTGTTCGATCCTAGCCCGAGCAAGTACCAATGTGATTTTTCCGAGTCATATGTACTTTATAAGAGTATTTAGACATCACTGATTAATGCATTCTCAAAGAGGATTGACGTCAGGCAGGCGGCTGATCGTAAAAACAATAAGCCAAAACTATTCACAACATGCAAGGCAGAACCTGGCTTATAGCTGGGAAATTGCCAGGTAGAAGAAGAAACAATTAATGATCATATTATTTCCAGGCCAAGGATCCTCCGTCAAGTCGCGTTCCGTCCCAGGGCCGCTGTGTGTTCACGGAGGGCGGTGTGCGGTGTTCATCACACGTACTGCCCGCCGCTAAACACTGTCTGAAACATATACTCAACGACACACAACAGGTTACAGATATATACATACATACTCTGCTTAAATAACTCTGAAACTATATACAGGGTGACTGGTGAATTACTATCGATATTTGAGGACGTGATATTTGACGATCATATATGACGAAATAAAAATTAATATAACATAAATATTAATAAACTTCTAAGTAAAGTTAACCAAAAGTTATGTAATTAATTACGCATCGTATGAACACCCTACAGATTAGGTATACACACACACTCACACATACGCGCGCGGCGGCGTGTTGTTGTATCAGCACGCCGCCGCACGCGTCCACACTTGGAACACTTGGAACGTGTACACACTTTATTTATTTATACGAAAATTTGGTCAAAAATTAAGTACCTATTCTTTTTACATAATTCGAATGAGAATCATGTACCGAGTATGCTCCTTAAATATTGATAGTAATTCACCAGTCACCCTGTATAATACATTGATTTCCTATCCTATGAATGTTTTAAGTAGATGTTCCTAGTCATTATTACATACATTCCATTTTAATAATGATACAGTGCAACCTTAATGTGACGAACCTCAATATAATGACTTACTCGATTGAACAAATTCTTCGTATGAATTGTCCGTAAGATTCAATATAAAGTATAACTTTATGTTGCAAACATGTTTTGCGAATAAACTCTTTATAACCAATTTTCAACTATCAAGGAAAAGTATACATACCTAATTATCGAATTTGTCAACCCAAAACCTTTATATAAAGTCCCCACCAATATAACTTCTAATCTTATAGTTATGTGATTCATGTCGCGACATGTTCGTTAAACAATCATTATTGTTTGATTGTAATTAAACACTTCTGCTCGTCACTATTTTTAAAAGAAAAGTAAAAAAATTAAAACTAATTTTTTACTTCTTTATAACATCTTAAAGCAACCTTACCTCAACATAACAAATTCTTGTTCCCCTGCGATTTGTTATATTGAGGTTGCACTGTATATATGAATTATATTTAAATAAACTTGTAATGTATGTATATATTATATTACAGGTATTATTCGCACCGTGCGGTGATGTCCGCGGGCCCGTCTCGTGTCGCGAGCCCGCCGCGCGCTCGCCGCTGCCGAGAGCCTGCCGCTATCACACAGACGCGCCGCCGCACGCGTGCTACACGCTGAAGGTATGTGAAACATACATACATACACATATATATGTACTATCTAAGAGTATTTAGACACCACTGATAAAAAAAGGAAAACATCGTGAGGAAACCTGGACTTATAATTTCTAATGATAAGTTTGAAATCACCAACCCGTCTTGAGCGAGCGTGGTGATTAATGCTCTAACCTTCTCCATTTGAGAAGAGGCCTTTGCTCAGCAGTGGGCTCTGATAGGCTGATGATGATATATGTATAATACAAGAAATAGTTCAAACACTATTCAATGATTATTCTTTGAGACGAAACCTCTCATCATTCAGTGCATAGTATTAATGGATGTTGGTTTTCAAAAGAACCGTAAGCTCTATTAAGATCACAAATATATGTTCCTCAATATTATTGAATAGAATTTTTTACTAATTAATATTAATTTTATCTTTTATTTACATGAGTAATGAATAATAATTGGGTTATTCTGTCCATAGAAGCAGGAATCTGAATGTGGTTCAGAATGGACATGTTCAGAACAGTCTCCGGCGGCTCCACAGATAGTGGACACCCTACACTATGACTGACACACGGACTTGACTTATATGGACTATGAGTGGAACATACTGAACGAATAGTGAAGTACACAGTGAAGTGAAGTGAACGTGAAGTGAAGTGAACAATACATTATGAAGTTTGTTTTTGTATTGTATAAGTAATGATTGTTGAATATATGATAGGTATTACTTTCTATTCATAGTGTAAGATGTAATTTTTATATAAACTTTGGATTTCTTGGTATTTTGAAGATGTAATGGAACCAAAGATAGTTGTTTCGTTAGTTTGAATACAATTGTAGATTTTTCAATTTATTAATCTACAATATATTGTGCAAACATAATTTTTTCTTTGATGTATGAAGTATTTTTGTACCTGATGTTAAAATTATCTGCTTTTATAGTTGTAATACTGGAAATGACTGAACATCACAATAAAAATGTTCTAATAAACTAATATCTTATTATTTTTGTTCAATTTAATGTATACTAGTAATTGAATGCAAAGAGGTCTTGAAAATTATTGAAATATAAGGCTATGGTTATACTTAGTATTTAGTATTCACTACTCCTTTTTTGCACTGCCGCGTTTCGGTTTAGCGATATCAATTAATCTCGGGATACGAGTACATAATATATAATTTAGACCTATCTAACATATGAAAATTAAAAGATGCCTAACATTGTATGCTGTTATTACAGTAGAGGTAATAAAAATTATGGTAAAAGCTACAAAAGTAGAAACAAATGATCAAAAGGACTCCCAAAGGAAATGGATAATAAAACTCTTTGAACATCTCTGTTAAGTTTAACGCAAGATGAACTCAATTTTATGATATTATGGTAATTTATCGCTCTTCAGCTTGAACCGCCTCGATTTTAATTCAGGGCAAACTTTTAAGATGTTCGGAATCACTTCGATGTAGGGTTACGAGAACGCCAATGAAGGATTACTTTAAGATTTTAATCATAAGTCTACTTAGACAAATTTTTAAATAAAAACATGTCACGCATTCAGTAAAAAATATATTTAATACTTTTTAAGTCTATTTGCATTTAGATAGATAAATAGCATCTAATTCTATCACTAACCCGTCTTGAGCAAGCGTGGTGATTAATGCTCAAACCTTCTCCATGTGAGAAAGATTTTTTTTTTTTTTGGTGTCGGGTTGGAAAATCCTTCATGGAGCCCCGCCGCCCTCGGGGAAGGACGGAGGGGACTTCAGACTCCTACTGACTAAAAACCAACCCGTGTGCCTCATCTACCCGTGTGCCGGAGAGGCGGGTATCGCCGAAGCATTCGTCGCTACCTCCCCGACAGGCATTGACCCGCCAGATGGTCAGGCGGGCCCCGTCACCCGGCTATAGACCTGAAACTTTGAGGCGCGCACGGATTACACGCCTCCCCCTCGAAGCCTGTGGTTGTTATCGGACGACAGGTGCCCCGAACCTGTCGTCCACAGGCCGCGCTCTACGGTGGCCGGAAATCGGTCGCCCTACGGCGCCCAGTGCGTCTGGTGCGGGAGGTGAGAAAGGAGGCAACCTCCCTTTCCCTTTCCGCTACCTCCTTTGCGCGCATCACTGCCTCGCAGAAGGTGGCGACGGCACACCACCCTGACTCGCTCCCCACCATAGCAAGTACAACTGCCGGGAGTGACAGGTTTCCTGCCACCCCTACCGCCGCAACCAAATCACGGCGCTGCTCGGCCCAAGCTGAGCATTCCGCCAATGTATGCAGCGCCGTATCATTGGGGCAGTTACCGCAATGACGGCACTGGGACGTCTGTTCCCGACCTATGCGGCACAGGTACTTCCCGAAACAACCGTGTCCGGTAAGTACCTGCGTTAGCCGGACCCATGTGAGAAAGAGGCCTAACTCAGCAGTTGGCTTCTGATAGGCTGATAGGCAATTCTAATACTAAAATATTATTATTTGCACTCATTGGTACATTTCAAAATGCAGCGTTTAGTAAAATTGAGTTATTTTACTTTAAAGACTATCAATCAACTAATAATAAAAACCATAAATGTTATTTGTTAAGAAAAGTATTAAATTATAACAAAATATTTAAAAGTACAAACAGCATTCTAAACTGAGATTAGGTACACGTGACAGACCTATCGCTTAGGCGCCAGCTCTCCTAAACCTTACGTAGTTCAGTAGACAATATCTAAAAGCAAATATTGCTGCACTATTTAAAAACATAAAAAAAGAGCGGATCACTTGAGCAAGGTGTTAGTGACTCTGAGCTGACATGATTTATAATCACAATCTGTGTTTTATTTAACCGTTTTACTTGCTTTGTTTTTTCAATAGCTGACAAGAAAGATGACGTTGTAATCACTGGGAATTTTATCTAAACTATCATAACAGTAGCTCTTATTTAGCAAATGGTTTAATATATCATTTTTGTTGCTAGTTTTATTAAAATACTAACGTGTTCTTGTGTGATGTAATCGCAGCCAGAAACTTTATTTGTTTAACAAGTAGAGCAACGTTTTCTCATCAGGCCACTGTCGAAACATTTTAGAACAACCACTTAGTCCATATTCGTATGCCGGCGTGCTGTTAAAGCGTTGTAGGTGGATGCTAATTGCAAAGACGCCCTTCCCGCTCATTGTTTTAGAGCAAGCCATGATTGAAGTTTCGGTGGATACTAAATACTAAGTTAGTACTTAGTATTTAGTAATATATACATTTCTTAGGAAATGTCTGATAGAGATCTGAAAACTAAATAAGCATATGGACTGTATGAATTTATATAATTTGAACTCTTATATTTTTGGCGGGCGGTAAACTTCTATACTTATATTAAATAATAAAAATGCGGTTATAAAATGAGCTTCGCACAAAACACTTCTTCACACTTCACTCTCCTTCATACACGTCTTTTTATTGACAAAGTAAATACATATATTTTAATAAAACAAAATATGTTTAAAAATAATTTTGTTGACTGGGACACATTTTCTTAAGATTCGGACAATGTCCAATTATAGTGCCTGTTTAAATCATTTTAACGTAATTAACACCAACTGGTGTTGTAGAATGTGTCGCTGGGTCATAATTACATTGATTTTAATTATCTTAAATACAAATCCTACTAATATTATAATTGCGAAAGTTTGTGAGTGTGGGTGTATGTTTGTTACTTCTTCACACTCAAACGGCTTAACCGATTTTGATAAAATTTTGTATACAGGAAGCTGACGTCCAGGAATAACATATAGGCTACTTTACATCCCGTAAATCTCGGAAATCCCAGAAATCCGCGGGTAACACTGCGGGGCGCCGCTAGTATTTATTAATGTAGCTGATGGAATGCGTTCCGTTTTGATGATTATTATCAGAAGAAATACTTCGCTGCAGATGTAATTGAAGCATTTTACTTGGATGCGTCTCGGTGTAGGTACGGATCACTGTCTCGTACGGTACCCGACACCTGCTTCATTGTGATAAAAAAATGCGTGCGTACAAAGTGAATACACATGTCAGTAGTGAAACTTCTTTGGCGAAATAATTTATAAATCTTATTTATATTTATATAAATCTAAAACTTTAGATTTCCGAGACAAAGAGGAAGGGAAAAAGGAAGATAGGTTAATTTAATTGTCATTAAAATATAAAAAGTGTTGAAAATTAATTTAAATACAAAATTTAATTTTTTCATTTTATTTCTTTAATATTTACATTGTTCGACGCGATTTGTATTTGTATTGTTGTGTTATGTTATGTTTCAACATTATCCAAATATCTTGTAAAAGTAACATCTATTGTCGTTCCTGAATTTGTAGTTGGTGTGTTTGGATTATTATTTAGCTGTGATACGAGGTTCGCTCTGTCTCAATTTTTCTCACTTGCTTGCTCCTTACTCTCAATCCACAGTTAGTTGCTTCATGGTACGTTCGCTCCATCTCACTCTCTCTCAATCGATGTCGATCAATCTCTCTCTCTTTTTCGACACTTCCGTTGCATACTGGCGTGACCTTACATCTGTAAAAAAAATTACCCTCGTGCACCTAAAGAAGTGACCCTGAAGTGCGCCTGAAATGACACTCGAAATCGTTTTGAAAATGCTCTTTCTAATTTATTTTTAATAGGTGTATACTCTGGAAGTTCTCCAGATAGTCCCTCTTTTAGGTAATTTACATAAAATTGTCATTAAGCTGCTAAAACTATGAAATGCATTAAAAGGGACATGATTATTTTATCCAGAAATGGTACTGTTAAAGTAAGAAACTTATATTTTTTTCTTCGCCATCGGAAAATAGAGATTTCAACGAACTGAAGACACACAAAATTGTTGAAAATAGCTGGTATTTTGACGGGTGATTTTTCTATTGAAAATGAGGCTGACTTTTCGGTATTTATTTAAAATAAGCTGAAAAAATAAATATTTCTAATCAAATAAATTACAGTGTATTTGTAACATCAAAAGGAAAGTTTTCACTAAATTTCGTGACAAAATATTTTTTTTTGTATTAGAGATAAAAATAAAAAAAACCAAAAATTAGGTTTTTCGAAAATTTTGAGGTTACGTGAAAAAAGTGTTAGTACAAAAGTTTTAGATCTTTTTATTACCTATAACTTTGCCATATAACATTTTTCCGTAGGACTTTTAGTTTTGCCGGAAATCGAGAAAACCCATATTTTACCCTTAATACTAATCCCCATACCCTTACCGACCTCAGATCGCCCGTAAATTATTTTTACTTTAATTTTTATAATACTCCCCTCCTTTTGTAATGAGTTTCATTCTACTATAATTTATTTTCACTTTTCATTAATTTTAAAGGCTTCTGCACTGGCCTATGACATTACACTCTGTTTTCAATGAACATTCTTTCGGATTTCAAAAGATCTACTTCATTGATCTCTGAAAAGTCTTAAAAATTACAAACTTCGTCGAATTTTAGTAAACCTTGTCGGGATTTCACCCGCTGAAGGTTTGGGCCCTTCATTTGGTTATCATGGCTGGTTTCAGGACGGACGGAAATGACTGACGGTTGGATTAATAAGAAAAAATCCTTATTATTATCTAGTTGACAGTAATCAATACTAAATACACCCCGCAACGGACTGGACAAATGGAGTTTGTGCTGATAAGACAGTCAATTGACTACGAAAACCCATTCGACCAGAAATCGCTTGTTATATTGGCCATTACCATTATGAAAAGGGTCTGGTCCATAGAACTATAACCAGTCTTGTACAAAAATCTTTTATTCCAATTTTTACGAATGTTCCCTCGAATATAATTCTTGCATGTATTTAAATGTATATAAGCCCCAAAGAGTTAACCTCGACTCCCCCTACATGGGCCCGATATGACTTCCTTGTTGTAGCAATCTTGCTGTTTGTTTCATCTCACTTAATTTACACTAGAAGAATATTTTTTTTGACCAGGATAACGTTTTTATATTTTGGCCACGATCCGAATCCAAGGCTGACAGAATCAATTACGAGTAGTCCAGGTGGAAAAATTCATAAGTGATTTCAAGCCCTTGATCATATCTACTGGCGATTGGTCGATCTATTCAAAGGCCGCGGCAGTAGGACAACATTTAAATGACCGTTAGAGGGACGGACCTAGAGCGGCGTCGGAAATAGTTATGACTTTGGATTTAGTCTCTACTCAAAGAATCTGGTATTGAAGCTTCTTTCAGATCTGTAAGATCTTCCGTACCTTCCCGTAACTGGATGGAATGCTTTTCAATAGATAAAATTAGAAACTGGAAACCAGAAGCAAGATACTTTAGATGAGTTGTATTAAGCCAGTAACAGAAAAATACAAAATTGTTTTCCAAATAAGTTATTGTATTTCAATAATTTAATTTTTATTGGACACATTATAGCAACCTCATAATATTTATGACCAGGTGATAACAAACACGTCACTCCAGACGGATTCCGGATGTCAACATGGAACAATAGAGTTTTGACTAACGATAAAAAAATGACAGTCTATCAGAAATAATAAATTATACGTACCTTGATGCATAAATAATTCGTTCAAAGGAGGAAAATAAAACATATGTCGAAACAGAATCGTCGCTTTATTCAGCAATTTTCGGTTGAAAAAAATTAATCAACAAAACTACACTGAAATTCTGAACATGACTATTTTACAAACAATTTACAGCGATTTTTTTTTATTAATAAATACGGATTCTTTGAATGCCTCCCGGCTGAGCCCGGGCGTCACGTCGCTCGAGGGACGTCCCACAACTAAACATCGATAAAGTAATATTTACAAAAAAAATAATAAACTAGAGGCCCCGAGAGAAAAGCTAAGAAAAAATACAGCGCCCTCTAGCGGGAAGCATTCAAAGCGCCCGCCGCCTAGACTACGAATCAGAAACTTATGAGGTACACATTTTCCTATCCACTTTACTAAGCGTATGTTAACAGCCCCAAAAATGAGGCCAATTTTTTTTTTCACATTTTCTTCCCAAATTTGCAGCCTTTTGTACAGTATATGATACTTACCAATTATACATGTATAGACATAGTTAAAACCATTATTTTTTTTGATCGTCACTCTTTTCCCAGACAGACTCCGCACGGCATGTCTGTGAAACGAGTCACGTATTTTTTTTATGAATGAAACAACAGAAGTGCGTCAAGGACTCGGTACAGGTCCGCACAGCTATATTAAAACCCCAACGTTACATTAACATACATAACCACGATATTAGGATAAATTTTATTAATTTAGTTAATTTTTTTTTCACATTTTTTCCTCATTATTTTTTAACGAGATATTACGAATCGTATTTAAATCTGACAAAAAGTAACTACACTTTAATTACAGTGCGTTTTTGTTCAATTTATATATGTATGCATTTCATAATGTTTCTAAACGATTAAGTGTAATCTATAGCGGTTTCCTAAACGTGACGAACGTCATCTCAGCGGACATAACAATCATACTTAGAAGCGAAAATTAACGGGACATTAATGGAGTCTTACAAAACATTTCCAAAAATACTTATTTAGATCTCACTTGACGTCATACTTTACATACATATTAGATATTTGTTTTTTTTACACAAATCGTATTTCTTATCAAGGAGTGAATCATTAGCGACTATAAGGTACAGAAGCTTCATCTAAAGATTACATGTTCACCGAGTGTATGTATGTATACATTACGATAGTAACTAAACATATCCTGGATACTTGTGGGGTGTAATATATTTGGCTTATAATAACCTTCGACATAAAGCTGTCGTTATATAATATATATAGTTTTTGAACTAATAAAGTAACTACAGTACAATAAATATATTGAACGACCCGCAGGCCATGTGTGTGGTTGTCTGCGGTGTTTATGATAAAAAAAACCCTATTCATAGATTCCCTCTCGCCGCGTGCTGTCACACACCGTTTAATACATATATGATTGTGTTTATCTTCTCTTTAAAACAAAAAAAGAATATTTCTATGTGTCGGGACGTCGGTATGTACATGTCTGCTTCAGTCGGCTCTATGTCACAGCACGCGTCTATGAGATGAGCTCCTACAGCTTGTATCCCTCCCCTCTCCCCGCGAGCCCCGCTGGACCCGCCAGCCCTCACAACAATTATACAAACTATATAATACAATAATGCTGTGTTATATTACAAATTCATACATTAAATACACTCAACGACGATTTATCGCATATTTTTTAAATATTTTTTTTTATCATTTTTCATATAGCGTGAAATTCCTACAGAACGTTTCGCTAAACAAAAAAAAAACCTAAAAGCGTCGCCGGCCGAGGTCCGTCTGTGTAATGACTGCTACACGCGGCCACGAGCCGGCGGCGCCGCGTGTTACATGTATTAACTATGTCACAGCCACTTAAATTATTTTTAATGAAGCTTGCTTTACACTATAATGGACCATATTTGGGTGAGTCTATATAACGGTAATGTTAAAAGTGAACCGAACAGAGCCCGGGAGAGACACGGACACGTCCGACGGAACGCAAAACTCGTCCAGCTAAATACATTCATTATCACGAGAGTATGTGTTAACGTGGCGATACATGGAGGATAGTCGACTAACATGTTTACAGTATGAGTGTGCTACGTTTATATATAGTTCTATCATCCTTGTGTCCGAGGCCCCTCCACGTCAGTAGCTCGGGGCCCCGCAGGCCCCCCGGCCGTGTCCCCCAGGTCGCTGGTCACGTCACCTCCATCATAGTCTCTGTTCTTCGCACGCCGTCCTCGTCGTCCTGGGTCGCGTTGGCTGTTGACGAGGTCTCCACTATCTCGCTGTAATATATACATACATATATTATAGTTGAGTTTAACACGTAAGTCTAAGCATCCTAATCTTTAGCATTTATGTTTGTTTGATCCGTACCATTTTCTAATTCAGTGAATAGCTTGATAGTTTTCACTGCTTGTATAGTTATACTGAATTCACTTAAGATTCCTTATATTGCACATTTCACAATAACGATACTATCTTAATATAAACAATCATTTTAATAGTATCATGTTGTAACTCACGCTACGGGCGGCGGTCTCGCCTGCGTTATCATCCTGCTCTGCCTCGCCTTGAGCTGCGCCGTAGTGAACGCTATGGCCTGTACGTTAGCCGCTAGCGCCTGTCCCGCCGGCCCGGAGATGGCTATCTTCTGTCCCTTGGGCAGCTGCACGTTTTTCTGCAGCAGGTTGGCGACCACTGAACTGGCGATGGTTGCGGTTTTAGTGGGCGCGATGCTGATGCTGGTTGAAGGTTCCGCCCGGTTCCCGGGCGCTGCCACTTGAAGAGTTCTATTCTTGAGTTGTATCTGGTGCCTCACGTGGGGCGCGCGTACAGCAGGTAACGCGGCCCGCACTAGTTGCCGCCCATCCAGACTCACGCTGACCCGGTGCGGCCTGCTGGTCGCGGACACGTTCCCTTTGAGCGTCCCGTCGAATATGAACGGTCGTTTTTTAGCATCGTTGAGGTCGATCCTCGCGCCCTGCGTCTTGGGCGGCGGTTGTCTCAGCACGTTAACCAGGTGCGGCTTCCCCAGCTGTCCGCCCTTTATCTCGTAGTACTGCGCCACTGATCCGTGAGGTTTGATCTTAGCGTCTCCCAGCGCGGCGAGGGACACCATGCCCGGTAGTTGCGCCAGAGAGCGGTTCTGTCCGAACAGCTGTGCCCGTTGTGAGTTGGTCAGCGGGTGTGCGTGTAGTACTTTCAGCTTGCTGGGCGTCACGTGGTGTACGGGCGGCCCCACCACTACGGACGGCGGATGATGAAGTTGTAGAGGCTTGTGACCTAACGCGGCCGGAGCTAACTGAACGAACGGCGTAACACGACGATTGGCGTTCGCAACTGACACGTTCACGTTTGCGACGCTGGCCACGTTAGCCACATTCGCCACGTTAGCCACATTGGCCACGTTAGCCACGTTTGCGACATTCGTCATTTTCCCTGTCCCGGCCGTGACGTTCGCTACGCTCGCCACGCTCGCGACGCTTGCTGTAATAAATAATTTTACTGTGAAATAAATTATTACAAAATGCTTCTTAATTGTTTCATGTAGGCAAAATGCACCAATTTTATTAAAAACTTTCGCTGAACGTATATGACTATATCTTGTGGCTTGTGGCAGTACTTTAGGTGATTCATCATACAATGTTTAGATAGATCTTTCAAGCATGTTATACATACCGACAGGTAGCATGGTAGCGAAGGGTCCGTTCTGCAGTAAGCCGACCACAGTCCCGGCCGCGGTGGCCGCCGTCGCTCCTTGACTAGCCAGACGAACCTGGAGAAAGGTTTAAACATTAGCATTAAACAGATTTTTCCTTTCATATATCGTTTGATATTCTCTACCAGGCGGAAATCGACTAGTATATATTAATTTTTGAATAAATTGAAAACAATGTACTTTATATGCAGACATTAAAAATATAGTCCGGTCAAATTAGACATTCGAGGTTACATAAATTCCCACCAAGCTGAAAATCGGTAAGTTTGTTTGAAATATCATTAAAAACAAAATTTGAAAGTTCCCCATCTTTCCCCTGTAAGGAAAAATTTTTATTCAAGGTTAAACGTAAACAAAATGAGTTTTTCGCGATTTTCAGCAAAACGGTAAGTTTATCATAAAAATATCTCAGACAAAAATTGTAGATCATAAAATCTACAAAGAATTAATTAATACTTTTTGTTCTACGAGCCACCGTTTTTGAGATATAACGATTCAAGAAGTTATAATCGTAATAATATGCATGAGTACGCCACGTATATGTATATGTATACTCGTACATCTCTATAGTTGTAATATATGTTAAAATATTTTTACACTTCCACCTGCGCCTGAAAAACTGAACTCGATTTTTAGCAACTGCAAAAACTGCAGTGCTAAATGTGGTTGCAAAAAAGCCGGACTGTCCTATTCTCCGGCATGTACACATTGTCAAGGTCGGTTGTGCTCTAACATTGAATCACCAACACACAACCAACACAAACAGTAGAGGATCCGTTTAATTCCAACGAAATCCGTTTAATTCCAACATGCAGTTTCATGCATCGCTATTATATATATTATATAATATATAACGCAGTTTACATCCACTCAGGATGAAGATGAAGAAGATCATGAACAAGAACAAGAAGAAGATTTTGAAAATTACGACATCGGACGATTAAATTTCACTACTTTTTTTAACTTAGATTGCTTTTATCTTTTCAATCTCTGCTAATATCCATTATTTATCAATAGTTTCAAATTAAACAAGATCAAAACTGACCCGTGGAATAGACCTACTGGGGAAGATAAAAAAAAAGCTAAGTACACTACCTCATAGGTGGCGAGGGAACGTGTGCATATTATGACGATTACAACTTTTACAACTTTTTGAATCGTTATCTCTACGTTTTTTTGTAAAAAGTATTAATAAATTCTTTGAAGATAATTTTATGATCTACAATTTTTGTTTGAGATATTTTTATGATAAACTTACCGTTTTGCTGAAAATCGGGAAAAACTCATTTTGTTTACCTTTGACCTCGAATAAAAATTTTTTTTTACAGGGAAAAGATGGGAAACTTGCAAATTTTGTTTTTAATGATATTTCCAACAATCTTACCGATTTTCAGCTTGGTGGGAATTTATGTAACCTTACTGTTATTATTTGGTCTAATTTGACCGAACTAATAGTACACAATTTTGATTGCAACATATTATACATAATTTTTAAGATATGGACAGTATAACATGAGAATTTATTTGAATCAGTATGTTTGTGTGTATGTGTACCTTGAGACTGTCGGACACGGCCACGGTGACGATCTGCGCGGTGTCCGTCTCGCTGGTGGGTCGCCTGGCGGGGGCGGGCGGCTGCTTCTTGATGGTCGGCGGGGCGTCGCTCCTAGGCAGCGGGGGCGGGGCCTGTTCTCTCGGGGGCGTGTCCTCCACCGGCACGTACAGCGCCTCCCGGTCCTCGCGCACGTCCACCACGCTGCAGCCGAACGCCTCCTTGCGGCCAGAGCCGGCCCGCGTCCCCGGGCCCCGGCCTTGACATAAAAAAGTCTTCCCGGTATCCACGTCCCGGGCCAGCTGCTCGAGCAGCTCGTCCGTGCACTTCTTGTCCGTGTCCGAGAGGATGCTCTCTAGCTGGTCGTCCGTGAAGCCCGTGAAGTTGTCGGGCAGCTCGTCCTCGTTCGGCTCGGGCACGCTGATGTCGTAGAGGTCGGAGAGCGTGAACTCGGAGGTGGTGAACGTGTCTAGCGCGCCGGACGACGGCTTGGAGGTGAGCTCCACGGCGAGCGGTGTGTCCACGCCCAGCGGGAGTTGGTCCTCCGCGGGGATATCCACGTATGGAGGTGACGGCGGTGGGGTTTTCGGTCGGAAATGTAACCTACGATAATATTCATAAGATATGAATTACATTCATAGCCGATGTACTATATTCCGCTACATAACATAATAAATCTAAATTTATTGCAGCAGTATGCTGAGTTGCAGCCGTTTTGGTTAAAACACTTCTATTCTGTCTCCAGTAATTCGATAAGATTAACAATAACTTTAATTTAAAAATGGTGGTGGTTTTTATAATCTTATTATTATTTTTAATGTTTTACTATTTTTTTTAAGTAAGAATTTCTATGAAATACATGAGTATTCGCTGAAATTCATAGAAATGATGTTTGCTTATAATTTATATCGTAATTTTGTATGAACATTTCCTTTTTTATTTTTAGTTTTGTTCACTGTTACTTTTTTATATATTTATTCTTTGTAGTGGTGTTTTAACTCAAATAAATTATTTTATTATAATACATGAAGCTCGTGTTAATATCAACCCACCATTTCCTATTGACCTTATCGATGAACTTCTCGAACTCCTTCTCCACGGGCTGCAGACCGTCCTCCGAGTCGTAGCTGCTGTCGGTACAGCCGCTCCAGCTCCTCTTCCTTATAACTCTATTCAGATTGTCAGTAACTAGTCTGTCTATAGTTCTTTTTTCACTAACGTCCTCAACACTATCACTAATGTCCGTTTCTGGTAAAACTCTTTCACTGTCGACGTCCATCGGCTCTATCTTGACGTCGTCCACGTCGTGTTTGACTTCATCGACGTCTATTTTGACGTCGTCGCCGTTGACCTTCACGTCGACGTCCGTCTTGACGTCTAAGACGTCATCGCTGACGGGTTCCGTCCACAGATGTGGGTTATCTGCCAGATGTCGTCTGAACGCGTGTCGCCAGGGGTACTTCCCGCCCGCGTGGTAGTCCGTTTTCATTTCTTTCGGACTTCTGTGGGGCTTAGTCTCCAGTTCCACCTAAACGAACAAACAAATATGATTTAAAATAAAAATACAATAAACTATTTAAAGTGAAAAACGTAGTTGGAATACAAGCAGAAAATATACAAGAAAACAATCATAGCCACGAACTGGTTTCGAACTTGTAACATTTTTATTTGAATTATATTTATTTTATTATATATAAGCATCGCCCGCGTGGAGTTCGGTTATATCGTGTTCCCAAGAGAACCTTTCAAAAGTCTGGGATAAAAACTATCCTATATTCTTTCTCAAGGTCAACTCCATCTCTGTACCAAATTTCATTAAAATCAGTTCAGTAGTAGTTTATGCGTAACAGACAGACAGAGTTACTTTCGCATTTATAATATTAGTAGGGATAAGACATTCATATAATATAATAAGATCACGTCATCGATCCATTTTGTTATATATCGCATTACGAGTTACAGACATTAATATAATAATTCCTCGTTAGTCCACAAATACAATGTATTTCATCATTCTACATTAACTCCATCTCGTGTTCTACAGTGTCGTCATGAGTAGGCAGTGCCGGCGTTAGGGGGGGGGCGATTAGTGGAGGTAGGATACTTATAAATAAAAAAAATAGGAGCTACATAACTATCTACGTCCACGTAGTTAGCTCTGGGTCACGCTAAAGGAAAGATGGAATATAGAATTCTTAATACACGTTCAGTGTTCACATTGGTTCAGAAAAAAATCAATACTCGATTTTGATTTCTTCAAGTGGGCGCCAAAATATTCTTGGCCAGGGTGTCAGTCCCTCTAACGCCGGCACTGTGAGTAGGTACTATCTACTACTACTATCTACTCCTCCCCCTACCTCCTCCTGCCTCCTTTGCTCCTCCTCCCTCCCCCCCACGTGTGTGAAGCTCAGTCTCCGCCAAAGGTCGTCTAGAGGTGTCCGTATCCGGTCCAGCAGCACGCGGCCCCCTCTGCCTCTTCTCCGCCTAGCGAAGCCCACGCAGTGCGAGTACGGTACACGGAGTGATGTTAACGTGAACCTGGGAATTGTTGATTAGTTTAATTCATTACTATACTATATTACTCGTGTAGTACATTGTAGCTAGGGAGGGACATACGTCTTAATTAAGTTAAGTAACATTTTAACTGGTTTACATCGTTACACTAGATAAGAAAGTTTTTAGTTTTTTTTATGTTATCCTAGTAGTTTCTTTATAATCCTACTAATGTCCATGTTCCTAGTAGTTTCTTTATAATCCTAGTAATGTTTATGTTCCTAGTAGTTTCTTTATAATCCTAGTAATGTCTGTGTTATCCTAGTAGTGTATAATCCTAGTTATGTTCATGTTCCTAGTAGTGTATAATCCTAGTAGTTTACCTGGTCTTCTCATCCAGTTCATGTTCAAACAGCCCGTCCTTGCTCGTGTTGTCGGGGTCCACTGGGTCACCGTACAACGTGGCCGTCGGCTGGAATACAACACATAACAATGTATTATTATATTAATGTACACTTATACTTAGTATGTGCAGTTAGTTAGTAATCTCTAAAGCAAATACGCTGATTATATAACGAGATTTTCTCAATATTATTATATATAGATTGAGTTTTCTTACAATATAATATTTCTCTAAGCATACATGATACAAAGAATGGAATATAATTCTGTTATACATATGTATATGAGTAAGTGACTGGAAATCGGGAACATTACTACTACTACGCCTACTCACTAAGCCTGACAGATGTGATAAAATTGTTTGTATTTATATGTACCTATGTCTGTATGTGTATATTTATGTATGTGTGTATGTATGTTTGTTTGCTCATACCATCTCATAGAAGCAGCCCGGCTTGCGCCTGAAGGCGAAGGGTCCGTCATCAAGAGGGGCGACCTCTTCCTCCGAGGACGTACAGACACCGGAATCTGAAATACATAAACATACATCAGATATACGTATTTTATTAAATATGTATATATTATATTATTATTAACATGTATTATAAACCACGCGATAGTTTAAGAGACGGAAAGTGCAATCATACGCCTATGGAGGAACATTTAATGTTGACCTTGCCATATGTCCCCTGACCGATATACGAATTAAGTCAAATTTAATATAAATTTTCATATATAATGTAATAAAGATATAAAAATTATCTATATTTTATTTCAGATAGATCATATATGATAAGTATTAAGTACAGTTAAATATTATACCACTCTAATGATGAAGTCTAGTCTATGGTTCGTTATGTATGTGTATATATATATTTGAAGGTCTTAAAGGTCCCGTGTCTGTAGTAATATATACTGACCTCTGTGCGGGACCGCGGGGACGTAGTGGCGATGCTTCCGTCTCTTGTAAGGACGTTTCTCACGCTGCAAAATAATATACTATAGCATACTGTTACTATGATACTCACATAGTATATTATATATTAGCCACATGCCCTATATAATATAGGGATCGGCTGCTATGTTAATGCCATTTGTTTATTATCATTAATCGCTCCAAATAAATTGATTTTGAATCGTTCTACGTTTCATTTTTAGTATATTATCATGTTGAAACATTTCTGTCGAAGTCTATACATGTATATAAGAGCATAACCCACCTGTCTGGCGTCCAGCGGCGCGGGTGGCGGGTAAGGCGCAGCGTACTCCCGTCTGAAGCTTGTCGCTGTGATCGGTACTTGGTATGTAGGCCTGCGGATCAAGTTACAGTGGTTAGTGTGTTATAAAAAAACTACGAGAGTATTTGGGTTTATTGACACTAGTTTTTTATATATAGACCCGTGGGTGGTATTGTGGTTAGTATATTATAAAAAGACTATGAAATCGCCTAAAAGTATTTAGACTAGTTATTTATCCGGATATTTTCTTTATTCTTTTGAGTCGATGTTTGACAGACATCCAAAGACCAGCTATACATATTTAGTAACTATTCACGACACTTTAAGGCAATACACTATGCCTAACAGAGGCTAGGGTTAAATATAACGCGAAACAAAATTTGTCAACTCTTGTTAATAGAGAATTGGACTAAAACAACAAAGCGATGGTTTATTCCTCTCGCTGCGACCATTGTAACTTCAGATTTCAATTCACAGTAAGTTTAAATAGAGATATTTTGAAAGTTATTAATTTAAAAGTGGTTTGAGTAAAATGAATAAATTTATAGGTAATGAGATTGGATCGAATGTGATTAAAACAAAAGTCAATTATAATCTTGTTTCAATATCTTTATATATATAATTCTTCTGTGAGTGTGTATGTCACTGAACTTCTATCAAACGACTGGATCGATTTTGATGAAATTTTTTGTGTGTGTTCAAGGGATCTGGGAATGGTTTAGATTCACAATTTCGTCCGGTGGACACTGTTTTTTAAATTAATTTTTAATTTATTAGTATATAGTTGTTGATACAAACGTTTTTTTGACATTAGATTTGACAACTAACTAATATGTCAATCATTCTGTCGCACTTCAAAACACGGAGATTTATGGCTTTAATAGGTGAACTCCAAAAATATAAATAACAAAAACGTAACAGATGTTTCTTGATTATAGGGCGATACGAAGTTCGCCGGGTCTCCTAGTATATATATATAGTATGTTTCTGACCTGTGCGTGTTGTCGCCGGCGGCGGGGTGCGTGTAGTCCCCCGCGCCGTACCTCCTCTCCGCCAGTAGTGCCGTGAGTCTCACCAGCTCCCTCTTGGCTCGCTCCCTACGAGCGACCAGCTCCAACAGGGACAGAGCCCGCGCTAGGTCACGACGAAGCTTGAGCATCTTTTCGTATGAACTTTCATCGTTTTTCCTATGTAATGGAAGAATTTTAATAGAGATTACTGATAATTCAGCAAATGTACATAGTTGTATAGGTAAACGGAAATGTAATATAATCTAGAAAAATAACTGATGTGGAATAGACGGATTGGTGATTTCAAACTTATAATTGTGAAATTATAAGTTGAGGTTTCCTAACGATGTTTTCCTTTTGTCAGTGATGTCTAAATACTCTTATAAAGTACATATGACTCGGAAAAATCACATTGGTACTTGCAAGGATCGAACCCGCGCCCTCATGCATGAGAAGCGGGCCTTTTTAACCACTAGGCCACCACTGACTTTATAAGACATAATGTATACTATATCTATGAAATCATTTTAAGCATTTTATCTTCTGGACGATATCAAAAAATATTTTTTAATAAGCATCACTAATAATCTGTTCGTATGAATATGGTAATACTCTTATATATGGAAATGTGAGATTCTTTTGTCAGTAGCGGAACGAATGAGCAGACAATGAGTATATTGATTGGTAAAAATTTTGCTTTATAAGTAATTTTTCAAGAGATAAGTATGAAGTGAATTGTTAAGAATATGATTATTCTATGTCCCGTACTATGAGTCACTTATAATGTGTTTATCGAGTTTGTGTCGTGTTATTCTCACCTATTTTTCCTGGTTTGCATCTTTTCCGTCCGTCTCCTGAACGCGAGGTAGGGGTTGTTGGTTGATTGCCCGGGCCGGTTCTCCGTCTTCACTGATAGTACGAGCGGGTGTTGCTGGAATTAATTACGGATAATTTTGAATTAATATACTTTTTATTAATTAATTATGAGAAATAGTCTTCTTTTAATTGCGATTATATTCTTTTTTGAACCTCGTTTCTATCTCCTACCATACAGAGATGATCATAAATCATTTTTCATTGAAAGTTAATGATTCATAGTATGTACGATATTCTCTAGACTAATAATAATATTTTTACATGTATGTCTCTTAAAAGTTCTCATTACATTTTCAGTTATGACACTACCAAGACTAATTAATATTCTATTTGACCCCCCCACCTTAAAGGTCGCGTAATAAATAGATAAATCTCTTTCCCCAATAGAGGATCGTATATAAGAGAGGTAGGTACTTATAAATATTTCATACTGATTTAAATAGTATCGATTGTGAGATACGTGTTAGTATTACGGTGCCATCATTTAAAAGCCAGACCAAAGCAATAGTTTGACTCACAAGTATTCAATTTAAGTATGGCTTTGTTAGAATAGTATCATAGTATAAAAATATGACAAAAGAAAAATAATATACTCAACCAACCAAAAACCCTAAACTTCACATAATTTAAATCTATCGAAAATCATATTATTACATACTTTTTCTTTCTAAATCTCAACAATACTTGGAATTGATCTTCAGTCCACATTAACAATACAAGTGGACCACTAGCATAATCCCATATACGTATAAGTCTAAATTTAATTATTATGTCGGTCAGGAATTATTTCATTATCATATGTAATAGAGTCCAAACTTGAACTCACACTGGCTGTTGAAAACAAGCGGAGAAATTTTTATACATACTATACATACTAGTTTTTACCCGCGACTTCGTTCTCGTTAATTTCGGAATAAGCAATATATGTATAGCTGACCGGGCGAACTCTATTCCGCCTTAGAGGCCATTAATAACCAAATATTGGAATTCACTAAGTTTTTTTTTTGTTTCGATCGTATATAATTAAATATCCAATGTCCGTCTTCTTATTCTAATCTATCTCTCCACCAGTTTTCAACCATATCCCTATAGCCGTTACAGTTATAAATAGCGTAACTAAAACAACTTTCTTTATACACATATAATCCTACTAATATTATAATTGCGAAAGTTTGCGAGCGAGTGTGTAATTTTGTTACTTCTTCACGCCCAAACGGCTGAAGCGATTTTGATAAAATTTTGTATACAGGAAGATGACGTCCAGGAATAACACATAGGCTACTTTACATCCCGGAAATCCCGGGTAACATCGCGGGGCGCAGCTAGTTAGTACATATTTGTTCTTAATGTGATGTTTTTAGTGTGATCTATGTGACATAACTCACAGTACTGAGTCGTTTGTTGAGCCAGTAGTCGTACACAGCTATGACGAGGTCGTCGTGCCTCTCCAACAGCAGCTTGGCCTCGTTCAGAGTCACGACCGTCTGGCCGGAACTCTTCTCCAACTTGTCCATCATTTGCTCGAACTTTAAGTCTATGGAAGGTATATCTTCTTGACAAACAGAGCTTTTTTTGGCTAGTTTTTTAACGATCAAAGTAAATACAGCCCTATTTTGTATCTTTAATGGTTAATTTTTGTTTGAACTTTTTCATATATTCGAATTGGGATCGATCTCAATTAGCTTATAGGTAATTTTTTTACGTAATAAACGATTATTGTTATGAATATTTCACTTGTACTTTGACACATTATAGACTGAATGAAATTACGAGGGGAGGTCAAAAAGTTCGCGGAATGGAGGGGTTGGAGGGGGTTGATTTACTCGTCCAGGTAGTAACTTGTTCAACACCTCATTAATAGTATATATACCAAGTTTGAACCAAATCGGGTCATTAACTTTTGAGTTATTGACCTGCAAACAAGTGAATCGGGAAGAAGTCAGTGAGTATGGAGAAAATTGAACACCGCGCCGTTATTAAGTTCCTCACCAAGCAAGGAAAATCCGCTCAGACGATTTTTGAAGAGCTGTTATCAGTTTACGCGGACTCTGCCCCTGGTAAAACCATGGTTTACAAGTGGCATGGACTTTTTAAACAAGGGAGAGAGTCCATTGAAGATGACCCCCGCTCCGGACGACCGATTGAGGCCACCACACCGGAAATCGTCGCAAAAGTAGAAAAACTTATATTGGAAGATGCCCGGTTGAAGAAGAAACAACTTGCAGCAATGGTTGGAGTATCCGAAACCAGCATTTTAAATATCCTACATCATTATCTTGGGATGACTAAGGTCAGTGCAAGATGGGTTCCGAGAATGCTCACGCCACTTCAAAAGAGCGAGCGTGTCGAGTGTTCTCGCCAGTTTTTAAAGCTCTGTGGGGAGAATAAGGATGAAGTTATGGACCGGATTGTTACTGGTGATGAAACCTGGGTTCACCACTATGAACCTGAATTGAAGCAAGAATCGATGCAGTGGCATAAAAAAGGTACAGCTCCTCCAAAGAAGTTTAAAGTGTCACAATCGGCCGGAAAGATCATGGCTATACTGTCTTTTGGGATACAGAAGGTATTTTGCTGATAAATTATAAAGATCGTGGTGTGACTATAACGGGACAGTACTACGCTTCTTTATTAGATAGATTGAAAGAAGCTATCAAGGAAAAAAGAAGAGGAAAGCTGTCAAAAGGTGTGCTCCTTTTGCACGACAACGCAACAGTCCACACGTGTCATGTTGCGACTGCTGCCATTCACCGATGCGGATTCGAAAAATTAAACCACCCACCATACAGTCCAGACTTAGCCCCTAGCGACTATTATTTGTTTCCAAAAATGAAAAAAGAGCTGCGTGGAAAAAAATTTGGCGATGATGACGAAGTCAAGTCCGCAATTTCGGCCTATTTTGATAGCCAAGACAAATCATTTTTTTTCGATGGTATAAACAAATTATTTGAGAGATCTGAAAAATGTATTAAGGTTAAGGGAGAATATATTGAAAAGGAAAAATAGTTTCGTGTTAAATTTCAACCCCCTTCCCGCTCATTCCGCGAACTTTTTGACCTCCCCTCGTATAATACGTACTTTCAAATCTGCACAGATTTCAGAATGTTCAAACCGAATAATATTCTCTTTCTAATAAAGATCCTTTTTTATATATGTTTTGTGTCTGATATGTATATTCATATGTATTGTGTGTATATATCTGTGTATTATACTACGTCTAAATCTCCACGTAATGACATGTATGTCAAATTACCTGTCAACTCTGGATGCCTCTGTTGTTTCAGCCACCTCTCATCCTCTGTATCGATGTCATACTCCGGCGCCTCTTGTTCCTCCCATAGCGCTGTAACAATTTAAAATAATATTCTATAAATAACACTATACTGTATGTAACAACAAAAAGACATGTATACATTCCAACAACAGTATTTCGATATATATTTTCATCTATCGCATGTCGCATTACAGCCGGCCAGAGTTTTTTTTAGCCTTACAGCCTTATCAGAGCCCACTGCTGAGTAAAGGCCTCTTTCTCACGTGGAGAAGGTTTGAGCATTAATCAAAGGGCTTGCTCAAGAGGGGTTGGTGATTTCAAACTTATAATTATGAAATTATAAGTCCATGTTTCCTCACGATGTTTTCCTTCACAGTCTATCAGTGGTGTCTAAATAATCTTGTACACCTTGTCTACTTTTATTTCAAAGAATCATTCACATGTATCGTTTAAGGTAATGTTAATGTAGTCTCAATAAATACTATCAAGGAACATTAAAACACTGTTAAATATCTTATACGGTTAAAAAACATTTTTCTATATAAAACAATATATATTGTACCTACATATGAACATTTTAAATTTAACAAATTTTCGAGTTAAATCAGAAAACATTGTTTGTCAAGTACATTCGTCACCATATAAGCCAAGAGACAGCTTACATTTCGCAACACGTAGAAGACAAAATAGTATAAGTGAGATTTGCACCATATAAAGATGCTTAATCTTGACGTAAAGATGGGTTTTCAAACACATAGTATTGTAAAATCCAACCTCTCTATACTAACTACAAACCACACATACACATATAGTAGACAGGAAACACAATGAGCTATCCCTATCCCATTCATCCTCTATAAATAATACACGATGTAAACATCATTTCCTGTTATATAGTTATGGAAACGCGTGACTTGAGTTCACGAATTCAATTAAATATCAACTTATATGTTAAATATAATAAAAATAAATGATATTGAATAATTTTAAAGGATTTATATTAGAAAACATTTAGTTGATTTAATGAAGCAATAAGTGCTATAGTGTTGTCGATCGATTGCCACTGGAAAAATTCGATAAAAATTTTATTATACATTTTTTCATTTAAAAATATTATTAAATTATTTTTATATTAAATATTAATCCAGAATTAAGAATACAAAAGATAGATTTAATAACATAATAGAGAAGTATTCCATCGTGTATATATATTAAAAAAACACTGTCCAGCGGACAAAATTGTGAATCTAAACCATTCCCAGATCTCCTTGAACACACACAAAAAATTTCATCAAAATCGGTCCAGCCGTTTGAGAGATGTTCAGTGACATACACACTCACAGGAGAATTATATATATAAAGATATATATATATTGAAAGAAAATTTCAACGATAAACTACGCATTTATTACAGTAATTCAGTATTCAATTCATCCATTATACATATAATTATCGCATGATATAATACATATATAAAGACGTAAAAAACTATCCTCATAAACATGTACACGTGTGAACTCACAAATAACAGTGCGTGATACAATACAATCTGATTCCCATGGAAATAGTGTGATCTATATTGTTTTAATTTATTATTATAGATTTGACGAGATATTTATTAGTGGCTCGATCTACATATATAGTGGGAGATTATTGAAAATTATGATAGATTGTTTGACATAATCTACTTGTATTGTATTAAAGAAGTTCGTAAAGATGTATGGATTTGGTACACATTCCAGAAATATTAAACTTATTTTTGATGATATTTTGTAGTAATCTAGATTAGAGATCCGGGTTAGATATAGCCTATAGACTATATTGTATAATTAGTCCCTTCATACAATTTAATTCCCGAGGGATCACTTCGTAACAGTTGTATTTTATATGACTCGCGACAAAAACTGTGAATGTCTGTTATAGTCGATTGGTATAATAACTATTATTTTAACACACTATAGTCATCTGTCTCAGAACAACTTCAAAGTCCGCTCGGACTCTGTACATGTTTAATAATACATACTTATATGTTTAACAGTAAGAAGTATATTGTATATATCTATATATATATATATATATATATATATATATATATATATATATATATATCTATATATATATATAGATAACGGGTGTCCCAACAAGAACGCAATTTTTAACTTTGGCTCCATTTTAAGTGCCATTGTTTGACATTTGAACAATTGTTATTCTTTGCTTGTAGAAGGTACAAGGTTTGTAAAAATGGAGCGCTACACGAATGAACGACGCATTTTCATTGTAAAATTGTTTTACCAAAATGGTGAAAGTTTTGCGGCTACAGTTCGCAAATTACTCAAAAAGAGTCAACTGTAAAGAGATTAATGAATAAATTTGCCGAAACTGAGTCTGTTAGTGATGTAAAGACAACAACAACAACGCAAACAGTCAATGGTGTTCGATATCGTGAAATGATTACCAGTTTTTTCTTGCCTAGAATCGAAGAAATGAATGTGGACGGCATGTGGTGTCAACAAGTCGGCGCCACATGTCATACAGCCAGAGAAACAATTCAATTGCTGCATCAGTCATTTCCTGGTCATGTTATTTCCCGTTTTGGAGACCAGAATAGGCCGCCTAGATCGTGCGATTTAACACCTTTAGATTATTTTCTTTGGGGTTTTTTGAAGTCGATGGTTCACGCGAATAAGCCGACGACGACTTAAGCCTTAAAAGAGGAAATTGGACGCTGTATTAATGAAATACCGCAGTATTTATGCAAAACGGTCCTAGAAAATTTCATTCAAAGTTCGCGCGTGTGCCTGCAAAGCCGCGGCGGCCATCTGCACGATATCTTGTTCCATACATAACCTCATTCTATCTACTTTACGATATAATAAAGTTTCACGATATTTTTTTAAATATCAGTGTTTTATTTAAAATTTAAAAATTGCGTTCTTGTTGGGACACCCTATATATATATATAACAAGCCACTGGAAAACGATATTCCAAAGGTTATATTCGAAATCCCGCTGGTTTAGATCAATCTTTATTTCATGTTTTTCAATTTAAATTTTTAAATAAAGTTCAAAGCAGAAACATATACATTCCAATAGTTTTAACTTAATACTTAATTAGTAATGCAATATATAAAAATCAATTCTTCTGCTTTCCTACTACAAATATCAATATTCTATCTGTTTTCATAAAAATAATTTCCTTAAAAGAAAAAAATATATATTAAACTAGTACATGGTTTTCATTTTACATCAGGGCCGTAATAGTCTGGAGCCGTTCCAGACTTCACATTGAAAATATACAGGGAGGATATCCGACTAACATGATAAGGGAGCTTCAGATTGACAGCGTTTAAAACGCTTAATCTCATTTTCATGATTATTGATTTATGAATAACCATTAAGTATATTTATCTTCTTAATTTAATTATTTGTTAAAATTATATAAACGATTTTAATATATATAAAATTATACCTAAATTATTAAAAAAGATATAAGTTACAGAAATAGAATTATAATATATTATGTTACAGCTAATAATTACTAAAATTATCACCAAGGTCGAAGAGCAGTGTGTTGAAAAATCTGTTATCACAATAGGGATAACCAATATGAAAAACCGAAATATATTACATTAAAATACTTAATCATTACGCTTAATACAAGTTTTCCATTGCCGTACTATATACGAAGCTTTCACAATTATTATTCATTGACAAATCTATGTACATTATAGTATTAAAATATGTTACTAAATGAGAAACGGAAAACACAACATATGTAGTGAGTAGTGACGATGCAAACTTGTAGTTAGCACACGTATGAAATAAAATTTAATGATGACGTCATATGAGAGGGGGCGGTAAAATGAGTTTTATGTTTGTACACTTGTTACAGTTTTATCCCAAAACAGTTTCAAATAATTAATGAATTTTCCCTTTAGGAGACTTGAGAATATTGTTAACCATTATTGGGTATAATTTATATATTTATAAAAATGTATATTAAATTCAATGAATAACGTCAAACATCATATTTTATTTGCCGAATAATATTGGTATAATTTTATATTTATGTATGTATATTATAAAATAATTATTTTATCCATGTGTATGTATTGTGGTTAGTTATTATATTCTTATACAATAGTTTTAAAATCTTTTAGCATATTAAATTATATTTATTTTTATTTTAATCTAATTTAAATAATTAAATAGTGAAATAATTTTTTTATATATATCTTTTATTGTTATAACAACCAAAAATCTTTTACATTTTATAGCAATTTCCTTAAACATTTATATGAACCTAACATTAGGTCAGCGATGAATTAATATAAATAAAATATACAGTGAAAAATTCATAAAGCCAGGTAAGAATCGAACCTACTACCTCATGATAATTGCGTTCCAGTTACTTTACCAACTGAGCTATTGTGCCATGTATTACTCGAGTCGCTTATGCATTATACATATTAAAACTTCATTTGTTTTTAACCTATGGTTATTTGACTAAAATTTAAAGCAATATTTTCAAACTTTGCAGTATACAAAAACCTTGGTAAAGATATATAATGAATACCTAAGATTATCGAGTGTAATCATTTAAGTGGAAGCAAGCTTTTTAAAGACTAAGCGTTTTTTTATTATTTTGTAACCAATAGTGAGACACTTTTGGTTAACTTTACTTATGTTATATTAATTTTTATTTTGTCATATATGATCGTCAAATATCACGTCCTCAAATATCGATAGTCATTCACCAGTCACCCTGTAGATTGCCGTAAAGGTACCGAAACTTCAGGATTACGTAGATACAAAATAATGAAAAACACGTAATATTCGAAAAATTAGTTTCATTCAAACTTAGTAAATCTTCAATAAGTCCCAGGTTCGAATCCACTTCCTATAGATGAATTTTCATACAATATTTCTATTTGAATTCCAATTAAAGTTTCACCAAAATCGATTTATCTCTATGTAATGTTACGAGATCTTTCATATACATAGTAATATGTTTAATATGTGCGCGTTAAATTCTCAGGAGCGTTTGAAACTACTCCCAGTGTGGCGAT